TTAAAATATCACTCCAGAATCACTCTTTAAGGTCACGAGAATAAAGGAATTGATCACCAACTGAAGAAGCTCTTGATTGTTAAACAAATTCTCCTTGTGAGCACCTTAGAAAATAGACGGAGAAAGTATGGAGAATATACGTACTGATGTGTGGTGTAAATGCTTAAAAGAGTTTAGCTTGTTTTTTCTCTAGGCGATGTCTTTACATCGTCATATAGAAATGTTTTGCGAATTTATGAAATTATAATTCAGGGGATCTAAGCGATTAGTTTACCGTTTACCGCTTCACTTTTTATAGTGAACAAAGTAGGTCAGCTATCAACTCAAATTTTTCACGCGAAAAGATCGTAGTTTATTTTAATTGTTGTACTTTGTTTTTAGAATGATTCCCAGCTTAAAAAGAAAGTCAGGCAGTTAGAGGCGGAGTTGTTGTCGTGCAAGGAGGAATTTCAGAAGCAGCTGCAACAGAAGGACACCAAACACGATGAAGAAGTGAACTTGCTGAAGGCCGACATGTTGGTAGCTCTTCAAGTGGCTCGGAGTGGTAATTTGCCCCCAGCTGGAGCTAGTCAACCAGATTCCCAGACTTCTAGCAGCACCATCACTCACGGAGGAACAAAGCTCTCCTTAGAGGTCTGGTGCACTTGTTTCGTTTTTGATTATGACCGTGTGGCATTGATTTGAGAACTTGTCGTCCGGACCATCTTGAAAGTTAAGGAAAAAAGCTGTTTGCTCAAGAGTAGAGGTTAAGGAAATTGGTCTATGGGAATTTTCCACCGAGCAAAAACGTTTCCTCTTAAATGGGATTTAAGCTCTGTCGGCCGTTTCCGTCCTGGTGGGTCGTACTTTCACAAAATTTGCTGCTTGTACCCTGCTTTCTTCGATTATCTCTTCCCTCTGCGCACGATTTTTGTTTGCATATTGCCAGCTTTCGTCCAACCATCGTTTGCCGTCCCTCTTTGTTGCATTAGTAGTCTACTTCCCAGCCGTTGTTTGTTCTTGTTACGTCACGCGTTTTCTCTCCGAAAGAGATGGATGAGACAAGGTGTGTTGCGTGACAAAACCAAATAAGGACTGCGACGGGGACTACTGTCACACTCGTTCGAAAGTAATGAGAATTCACGAAGTTTTATTTCATGAGCATCTTTTGAGTAATTTTATCGATTTCTTAACAGGAAGCTGTCGCGAAAATCACCAGTTTGGAAAAGACAATCGAAACCACCAAGAAACAAGCTAAGAAGGAAAAATCTGATTTGGAAAAAAGCTTGAAAAAATCCGAGGCTGCCACAATGTTTGGACTGAGACGAACCGAAGAGATGAGCATAAAGATTTACCAAATGCAGAAAGAAATGGAAATTATTGACCGCAAATATCAAAAGGAGATACAAATGTATAAGGACGCGTTTGAACGAGAGAAAGAGGAGAAATGCCAGCTGGGAGACTGGGAGACACTGTCCTCCGAGAACGACAGTCTGCGACTGGAAATCGAAGAACTTGATTTGAAAATCGAAGAAATGGAAAATACACACCAGGCCGAGATCAATATGTATAAACAAAAGCTCGGCGAGGAGGAAATGCAAAGTATCGAGAGCTTAAGATTGAAAATCAAGAGCTTAGAGGATGTTATTGAAGAACAAAAGTTAGAGCATGAGAAAGAGTTGGAAGATTTGAAACTGGAAAGAGACGCATCCGTTCAGGAATTAAAAAGACGACACGAAAAGGAACTTGAGAATGTCAAAAGTGAACAGCGAGTGGTGAACGTAGGGAGTAGCCATACGCGTGCCACTTCTTTCGATTTGCAACAAAAAGATCTAAGAATTAAAGAGTTAGAGCTCAAAGTTGAGGAGCAGGAAACTCTTCTTGAGGTGAAAAGACGAAGACACAAAGAAGAGATAAAAAGTCTTCGTCAGAGATTGGACGACGAAATGCAAAAGCACACCGAAGATGTTCGGTCGCACCGAACCAAGGTTCGGATGCTGGAACGACGCAAATCCGAACACTCGATCTCTTTCGGGTTAGTGGACGACGATTATAAACGGATGTACGATGAACAACGTTCGGAGAATATTAAGCTTAAGTTTACTGTTGAGAAACAGAAGAAGGAGTTGGACGATATGCGCACTGCTTTGGCAGCTAAAGAAGAGAAAGCAGCAGAGGTTACAGAGAGAAGAAAAGCGTTTGGTAAGGGGATTTCTGAAATTATGAATAGTGTGACATCGTGAAATCCAACGTATTTCCCTTTTCCTAACGCAACTTCTCTTTTCAATATTTTTATAGACTTTTGCTGGAAATAGATCACTGTCTGAATACTTTTTTAATAGATCAATTTATTTATCGCTTACGTGAGAATACTTAAAAATTTAATGACCCATGCCAGGTTTTTTTATTTGGTATCAGCGACTTTGAAACGGCTTTAATCGTAACGGGCTGTTTGACCGTAGGGTGATTCGTAGCTGTTGTTGTCCCCATTACGCCGCACACTCACATTTATAGAGAGCGTGTTGCCTGACGAGGCAAAACAACTGCTGATTAAGGGGACTGCAGCTTGATAGCGATCATTCTAAATTTCTTCTTACGATGGTTAGTATTGTGCCTTTCACATTTCTCTCCTCTTGTTCGTCATTCATTGTCTCTTTGCTTGATGGTCTATATTTAGATAACCAATCTGCTAGACAAGATTCATTAGTGAGCATGAATTTTGACCTTGTCTCTTTCAGGAGAATCACGGCGCCCTGTTTCAGATTCCTTCCCATCGGGCTTTTCGTACAGCCGGACCACTCCAGCCCAGGACTCCTCCTCCCAACCCGGCAAAGTGCCTCTGAGAAAAGTATCTTCGGATAACAAGTCAGACTCAGATCCTGTGTGGAAGAGGGCGTCTGGGGGACCACTGTCAAGACAGGCGTCCGAGGGAGGGTTAGGAAAGCATGATGTTGGCAAGGGGAAAATATTTACAAGGCAACTCTCTAAAGGGGTGAGTGAGCAAAGTCAATTACTCGTGGAATAAATTTGTAGATAGTGAATTCAAGACAGGTTGACATTTGAGTCTGCGTTGTTTAGTTGTTCTGAATACGTAAATCCGCTCATTATTGTTATAATCAAAACTTGGAAAAGTGTTAACCACGTTATTCGTCGCTTTCATTTGAGTTTCAAACATTTAAGGGGACATTTCCTTGCTCTCTGTTACTTGAACGACTATCTAATTCTGTTTCGTGAACGTTTACATCAAACATTTGTATCAAAGCGTACGATAATAGTTCTTACGTTCGCCGTCAACACTTTGACCGATCTGTTATCTTTGTGTTTTTCTCGTTATGACGGCTATCTTGAATCATCAAGGCACTGGAAAGTTGGGAAAAGGGAAAACTTCCACCAAGGGGGGGTGACCCTGAATCCAACAGTGCGGCTCGGTAAACGAATTCGAGCTCGTAGCGCTAATGCATTCCTCCTTATTGCAATGCAAGCTGGGTAACTGCAATCACACTAATGTTTTAGTCTGGTTGGGTTTATAGGTTGAAGCACCAAACATGGGCTCAGTAGCAGCTCGCGTAGCCTTGTATCAAACTGTAGGTAGGTATCAAGCTCTTTTGTTTGCGAAAGTGGAAGTGATGAGCGGATAGTGGGAGGAAAGAAAAGAGAACGTGATGAGATATTTATGAGCATTTTCCTAGTGAGATTTGAAAATAATTAAATCCGAAAGAAATCCTCTCTACTTGCGCTTTACGCCCGTTTTCTGAGTTTTCATGGGCTCGTTGTGAAGTTTTCCTTCGCTTTGTTCGAACTGTTTGATTGATATCTTAGCATTTGTGTATTTCCTTCTATGTAGATCTCCATGAAAGTGTCCTGTCCCATAGCTTTGGACCGGCAACAACAAAAAAACAAAAACAGTAGTTATTTAACGTTGTACGTAGTACAGTTAATAAACCAGTAGATAACAGGAAACAGCAAAAAACCAGAATTCTTTTTCACTTTTCTTCTGTAGCTTCCAAGTTTAAAGATAAAGATGAAAAGACAGGACAAAGGAAGCCGTGATGTAAATCAATTCTTGCTGAGGTAATTTTTTAATGTAGAAACTTCCGGCTCAGCAAGTTTCAGGGTTGGTCCATGTTTTAGTCTGTCTGTCCGTCCGTCCGTCTGTTTCACTGTCTGTCTGCCTGTCTCCCTGTCCAAGTGTCTGTCTGTTTCGGTGTCTTACTGTCCGTCTGTCTATTTCGCTGTCTCCTTATCTGTCTGTTTCACTGTCCATCTGCCTGTCTGTTTTACTTTCCATTTCACTGTCTGTCTGTCTGTCTGTGTTAGTCCATCTGCCTGTCCATCTGTATGTCTGTCTGTCTCTCCTTCTTTCCGTCTGTGTGTCTGTATGTTAAACATCTAATTGACCTCTCAAGTTAGGCAGCTAACCATGATCTGCTTTTCGCAGTGATGAATTGGTTGCGATGGTTATTATTGTTTTTTTAACATTTTATAACATATTTATTAAGTATTTCTTTTTCACCTAATTTTCAGGTCAAATCCTCGCTCTCAAGAAAAGTTCTGCTCAACTTTGGCAAATATTCCAAATTTGAAATACAATGTAATTATGTACAGGAAAAACTCTATAAATGTATGTAAAACTAAGTATTCTCGCTTAGGCGAAGAGATACTTAATATTTTGTATACGAGTTTATTGTACCGAAAGTCTGAATTTGTGAAAACAGTACAAAAGGATGTCACCCAGGAATGAGTAATTTCTGTCCACAGTTTGTCAATCGAAAGGTATTTTTGTAATGATAATATGATAGCTATTTTTATAAGGTTCCGTATAGTGAAAGATTCATGCGGTAACCATTTCAATTTAAGTATTTCGTTTAGGCTCACTGGCGCTTGAGTTTAGTGAATAAACTTATTTACTCGTATTCTGTGGTCACGAGCTCTTTGAAAAGTACTTACCTTTTGTTACTGGCGTTCAAATGGAGCGGGAGAAGTTGGCCGAAGTTTACGGATTGGTTTAACAGTATTCAACATTTTCGTCTTTGTTATTTTATTGGCTCTCGTACGACGAGGTGTTCCTCAAATGACTGGATTAAAAATCACCGCTCGAAGCGAACACGCTACTGCTACCTGTTGCAGCGTCGCTATCGCAGAACAAATCCTACATCTAAATAATCTTAATGTTTTACTAACTCGCAAATTTTTTCAAATAAGTCCACTTGTTTCCATAAATCTTAACAGAGAGGAGCTGGAAAAAGAAAGTCGCAAAGTCTCAGAGATAAAGTACAAACCCGTACTTTACGACCTTGATAGTATCATGTATAACAGGTTAATGTTAAAGGTAGATCATATGCAGTTCTGTTAAAGTCAAGTTCTTGGGGCATTGTTCGTCTTCTTTAGTTTCGGCACCCTCCACCCGTGAGATTTCAAGTAGTCCCGAACAGCTCGTGAAGTTATTTCCAGTGGTGGAAAGTATGGCCCTACTCTAGTCCGTTTCCACCAGAGTCCAGAACGTGCTTCTTTGCTCCCAATTCTTGTGAATTTATATAGGTAGCGTTCACCACGAATAACTCTAGCGAGGGAAGAAAAAACAAAAGTAAAGGAATTCAGCTTCATTTAGACCCAAGGGTTGTACAGCCTGTGGTGGGTGACGCGCTCAGAAGGTTGGGCCATTAAGTGACAGACACGTTTTACAGTAAATCGAGTAGTCTGGGTCCAGACTCGTCCCCAAACTCTCCCTAATTATTATTCGAAAGTAACGGAAGACAGAGCAGGTTGGTTGGGCCATAAGGCGACAGACACGTTTCAAAGTAAATCGATTAGTCTGGGTTTAGACTCGTCCCTTGTCCATCCGTAACCATTTTTCGAAAGTAACGGAAGACTGAGCAGAAATTACTTCATCGCAAAACTTGCACAGTGTGTTGTGTAGGACGCAAATAATTTAGACCTTCCCTCACGTTATGCGCATTTGTCCAATTCTTCGAAGAAGTGAGTGTGAGCGAGTCCGAACGTGAACGGTGAAGGCTCACGAATTGAACAGTCGACGAGAGGATGGGATGGGGAAAGCGACGAACGCCAATAGCTCGTTGGACCATTCTCTGCTGAACAAGTCGCACGCGTTTTCCAAATGCGCTAGTATGGGTTAGCGACAATGGTGACAATAATAGTACAACAAAACTAAACAACAAAAGAGCATCACTATGCAATACTTACAGTGGAGGTGTACCATTAGAGAATGGGTTGTGAGCTATCAATGAAGTGGCCTGTTCATCATTTACAAGAAGTTTAGCTGCCAAGTGTATCAGCCAAGGGTTGTACTGAAAGTTCTGAAAAACAGAATTAGATTTGCGTTTAGGGAAATACCATAAGCAGCCAATGAGAACCCCAAGTAAAAACAACCAAACTGCCCAAGTTTTGATTGGTTTTAGTTCTGCATCTGATTGTTTAAGGGAGTGGCGTGAATTTTCTAGACCAATCACAGGGCGAAGTAAATCTAAAACAAAAGCAAAAAAAAAAAAAAAGGAAGTAAAGCCTGCACTGTAGCCAAGTGGCCCATCCAGGTGGAGCTCATTCCGGTTTTCAAGCAAGATACGCCAAGGAGTATTACTACTCCCCGCTGGATGAGATGCTTCACTCTACCAGGTTATTCCAAGCATTTTACTAGGCTTTTCTTGCAGTTCTCTGATTCCCATTTGAAGGAAAAAAAACTGCTACCACTAAATATATAGCCTTGTCTTTTCCACTGTTCGGATCGTTGGCGGCGTCTTCGTATTTAGGCCTCTAACTTATATTATTTCTAACAGGCGAGCCATTTCTAACACTAACCTGAAAAGCTGCAAACCACATGAGCCAGTCCAGTCTGTAGTGATAAGGTGAAATGAGACAAGGCCGCCTGCGGGGGTCACCCGGTTTGCATTTAAACTGATATTCTTCCCAGATCCCGCCTTCTTCATCCGGTATTACTGTCAAATTTCTAGTACCTTGGAAGATCACTTCGGTTCTTTCTTTTGTTACACTAGGGAAAGGAAACACGATTTCATATATTACGAATCCAACACTGGCACTGTAACCAAATTTCTAGGTTTGTAAAGAAACTAATTTGCTATTGAGTTTGTGTGTTTTGCTTCGCATGTCCCTCCAGCCAATCAGATGTGAGCAAAATTCAGATCAGTTTACAAGTCTACAAGTGAATTAACGAGAGGAAAAACCAAAGAGTGGAAAGTCGAATACAATCAGAGCCCGTGTGGATGAATCAGGGCGTTGGCAAAGCGTAGAAACAAACCTCTGTGATCCTTACACTGGACTAGTTTTGACCTTTTAAGAGCAAATTTGTTTACATTGCCGAATTGATAAAAAAGTTGGAGATTGACATAAGATACATGTCTGTAGACAAAAATCGAGAGCTATGAAATTTGAAAGCCCGCCAGTTCTACGCTTGAGACAAAACGAATTGAATGCAGTGAACAATACCTGGCTTACAAGGTTTTGAATTTTGTGTTACTTAAAGTACCTTCCAAAGGCGCCATAAGTGTTCACAATCCTGAAAGAGTCGAACGATGTGTTCATGGCTTGTCGAGAGGACAGAAGATTCTGCACCACAGGGATACTAAGATAAGCTAACACGACTCCAAGCATGAGCTCAAACACACGACGAACACAATGACCTACAAACAAAGACAAGCCGCAAAGAAACAAATAAACAAACAATTGATTCGTACCACGTACAACCAATTTTTCACACATTTTTTCAAATGTTTGCTCTTATAGACACACTGTATATTTTGACTTTCCAACAGCAGACGAGAGAGACTGATTTGCCGAGTGAGCTTTTTAATAAATTCGATTGAGTGTCCAAAGTAATTCTGGATTGCTTCGTTTTTGCTTTATCTCGCCCTGTGATTGGTCCAGAAAACTCGCCTAACTCTCTCAACCAATCACGGCTTGGTCGCCGACGTTTTCCCGGGCTTTAGGAAGTTTGACCGGTTTTACTTTGAGTTCTTATTGGCTGCCTATGGCATTCCTTCCTTCTGATTGGCCAATTGGACTACGTTGATTTCGTTAGCGCTCTTCAGCTACTATCTCATGTAAAATACACCGATTATTTCAAGACTGCCTTGACCTGTACATACCCCAGGTGGGTTTTGACGCAGTTGCACCAGTCTTTTGGAGATGCTGTATTCTAATCACTTCTCTCTTGGCTGATGATGAAGAGAACAAGAAAGCCAGGCTTTTGTCATCAAAGCACAGGAGACTGGGAAGAATGGTCAGCCAGTTTAGGAAACTCAGGTTGCCACTGATGATCAAAATAACCTAGCTTAACAGGAGTAAACAACACAACGACCTCAATGGCTGATCAAAAATTTAATTATGACCATAATGAAACTCACTAGCCTCAGCAGATCCTGTAATTTTTTGACAGTATGGGTCCAAACTCTGATTTAGAAAACACAGTGGTATTTTTAACCCTTAAGCTAAAAAATACTTAACAGTATGTAAAGTTTAAATACTTCTGGTTGAGTAACAACAAATGTTTTTTTTTTATGAAAGAATTGTGATTTCAGACAAGTAGAAAAAATACCAGGGGGGAGGGGAAGGGGGTCAAGGAGTCTGAACCCCAAACCTAGATTTATCACTGAGACAATATATGTTCAAATTTTCTCTTCTTAAAATAACCAGGCTATGAAAATTAGCAGACTTATGACAGTTATGATCCTAGTGGTATCTAAGAGGATTGTCACACATGAATCTGAAGCATGGTCTAGCTTGCCAGTGAATTCCCTGAAGCTCAGAGTCAGAGTTAAAATCCTTGAGGGTAACTAAGTTTATTTTCAGTTCCTTGCTCCTAAAATGTTTAACATCTTATGGCACAGGGGAATGAAAAGGTGACAATACAGAAAACTCACCTGAAAAAGAATTTGTAAAATGCCACACCAAATTCGAAATCTTCTTGTCAGAAAGATGAAAAATGGAACCACCAACTCAATGAAATGATTGACCAAAGTTTCACACTTGTGGAATATCTCTGGAGACTGGTGCATAAAATAACTCATAGGATTTGGCACTGGCTGAGTCTGTCAAAGATTGGAAGAAAATTTTTTTTAGGATTACATCCACTCTTCCAGTTGATGGAAGGTCATCAAAATTAATTACCTCATAGTGATAGTTCATACATGTCAGATCCCGCCAGCATTGGTCACCTCTTATCTTGATCAGTCCCTTAATGATAAAAAACATGCAATATTAGAATTACAAATTAATATACTCCAAGGGAACCTATCATTGATCCTTCCTTTACAGGTTTGAAATCAGGTACCTTGGGTGAGTGCTTTGGAATTTTTGCTTTGCATATATTTTCTGTTTTGTCCTGAGCACCTCGGAATTTATCTACTGTACAAATTCTTACATCTGAAGATGCTGTTCACAACTGAAGTTCAACACTATTGCTGACAGTTTTCCTATACCTAGGGTTAGGTCAGAGCTCTGCCTATGGAAGCTTAATCAATATCATTTCTATTTATTTAATGAAACAATACATTCTAACTAGTTTAATCAATACTTCTTGCCAAAACTTACAGCACCAATCATAATGCGAAAGATAAGCCATCTGTATCCCCACACAACCACCAGAGGTGTCGGTGTGTAACTGGGTACTTGCTGTAATTTAAACACTGGACACAAAAAGATAGCTAGGAAACCAGTCTCAAGAAGCTGCGATTCCCAACCTACAATGAAAAAGAAAATATTTTGTATTTAAAATGCAAAACCAACTATATTCTACAAAACCAGCTATGTTCTAAAAATCCACACAAAAAATATATATTGTGATTATACTTACCAAATGAGTACCTACAACAAGAAAGTAAAAGAAAAACATTTAGATTTACAAGTGATACATGTATGAAAATCTATCAACAATCATTTGTGTTGATTTTAAAATTAATCTTGATTGGGTATTTGTAATGCAAGGTTTGTTTACCAGGCAGTCCCATGGTAACTGATATACAAAAAAAAAATTGTGCTCGCAATTATGAACTTTAATATAAGTTTTCATCTTTAATACCATCCTTACTTGCAGTCACAGGTAAATTTCATTATTATTCATGGCCTTGTTTAAAACACCTCAGTTAAACCCTTTGTCTTCCAATATCTAAACTGTACTTCTCCTTCTAAGCTGCTATGTATCTTCTTGTTGATCAGTCATGAGAATTTGTTGTTGTGTCATTATAAAACCCTGTAGCTAATGAGTCTGTGTTTTTCATCTCCACTCTTCAGGATGCATTTGGTGATATTTGGATTTGTCTTCTAATATTTTTAAGCATCTCATGTCTTTGACTCATTAAAAGTTGACAGGGACAAGACACCCTATCAAACACTTACCATCTTTGCCCAATGTTGACAATAGAATGATAGAGAACCCACAGTAAGGCCATAATAATCATGTTTGCACATCCTGATAGTAGGATGAGTCCTGAGAAGAACATCCCAGTATATGCCAAAATGTCCAAATGCTCGTCAATCTTGGTTTTGTCAGTGAAGAGTAACAAGGTTGGAACATGAAGGACTTTTGTCCACCCAGCATCATCAAAATGTTCATCAATTTTTTTCAGATATAAGTCTGATGGAAGAAGCCCATTTTTTCCTAGCAACTGTTTGTTTTGATTCAAGGCAACTGCAAAAGCCACAACTGAAAATAAGAAGAGGAAACTGCCCATTAAAAAAATTCAGAGATCAAATTGACCAATCTCTTGAACTTGATCATCGACTTAAAGGTGTTTTGATACCACAAATGACTAGTATATTATTTTTATAACAATTACAAAGGAATATTATTGCATGTGCTCTGTAAATTGGACACCACAGGAGAAACCCACAAGTATTTCATCATCTATAGTTTAAAAATACCAATGTATTGGCATTCTCAGACCTACCACAATGATAGGATTTTGTTCCCATGAATGTATGCAAGGAGAAACCATAATCATGTCTTTTAACCCTTTAACTCCCATGAGTGACCAAGACAGAATTTCTCCTTACAATATCAATACAATATCAACCAGATAAGTGATGAGAATTAAGAAAAATATCAATTTGGGGATAATTGGTTGATACAATACTAAATTCTCTGAACTAACATCAAAAGAATTGTATGGCTGACAGTAAGGAGAGTTACAAATTTGATCTGGGAGTTAAAGGGTTAACCGAGGTACTTAAACTTAGGTCATTTGATCAGACATCCATTGTACTGATCACATCAGCTGTTTTAATGAACATGTACAAGTCTACAATTCTACAGTCCAGCACTTCACATGTGGGCCTAAAACTGAACTTCTGGACCTGTTTTCGGGAATGATGACGATTAGATTTTTTCTTTTGAATTCATTCCCCGTACAACAATAAAGTATGCATATCCCAAACTTAAATCTTGGAAATACTTTCTAAAATCAAGTTTCTTTCATATTCTGTTAATCACCTAAGTGAGTAGTAGAAACAACTTACAATAAATAAAGCTAAGTGACCTCAGAAACACGATCCTCGTCAGCCAGTAAGTTCCAGGTTCCAAATCAGTTCGCCTTGCCTCAGCTGACACTTCCTTAGAGTCCTTTTGATCGCAAAATTTTATTTCCTCAACCTTCTTCGCGCCTTTTCCTCCATTAACAGACCCTTTTCTTCGCCTCAGGCCCTCAAGTAACTCCATAACAAACCACACCTTTCTAAGAACATTAAGACTAATGGACTAATTTTTCTAAAATAAGACTTTGGAACCCTCGATTTGCAGTTCATGCCGCCATCTTGGATTCACATGAACGACAAATGGCGCGAAGCGATTGGACCGAGTCAACTTAAATAAAGGTTCAGTTGGTGGAGAAGAGCAGAGCGGGCTTTATAAAGAGTTTCACTCAGAGGAAAATATTTTTAATTACTTCTAGTGTAACCTTTCTAAGAGGGAACGCAGGGAGACGCTTAAAACACGATTTTTATTCGTCACGCAACGTTCAAGTAACTTTTTCGCGCAACAACACTTGTAATTAACAATTATTCGCCGAAGGCCTATTGACCAGTAGCAAGTTGTCCTGAAATGCTCATGTTGACAAAATAACTAGTAAAGCAAACAGGATTCTTGGTCTTGTAGAAAGGACGTGCAAGGGTATGAAGGAAGAAAATCCGGCAGGGCAAGCGACAAAAAAACCGCCTCCACCTCCTTAGCTCAAGGTCTGGATCCACCCCTGTATAAGTCTAGACATATCTACGTACATTCCATTCTGAACTGCTTCTGATTGGTACCTCTTCATTAAAAGGGATGAACTCTACAAAAGAGTCATAGACCCCATACAAAGGCAGACCACCCAAAAGAAAAGGGGGAAAAAAATTTTTTTTTCCTTTGAATGAATATTGTTAAATAATCTCAAAGACGAAGCCGAGAGTATAATGGCTCCGGTGGGATGCGCACGCTTAATTGGTCATGGATTGCGTCATATTCAATAATCCCCGAAACTTCATCTCAGGGATTGTTCAATAACATTCACTTCGCCTTCGGCAGATTAAGGAAGGAGTGTCGGCAGGAGCGCTAAATTTCAAAATGGCGGCCTCGCGTTTTGCCAGTTATGTTATCGAGGAATATGCGTGACCGTAAGTACCCACCGCTCAAGACATAAGTAACCTGCAGGCCGGCCTTTTTTTTGCATTTTCAGGAAACGGAGACAAGCACAAGGCAAGCACGAAGTGGGAGTCACACGCCATGGTGGGAGCTGCGCTTTAACCAGCCTGTCTCTTACCATCACTCACTCACTCACTTGGTGTCCAAATTCATAACTTAGAAGGAAAATTGCAAATATCAAGCCAATCTTCGCAACAAATTGTATTGCCAATTTAGAGGGCCGCAGCCAGACTTCAGAACAAGACGAGGCAAGTTTCGAGCGCCGAAGGCGCGAGCCGCTAGGTAGGTTTGGGGGCATGCCCCTCCAGAACATTTTGAAATCTGGAGGTTCAGAAATGCTCTTTTAAGCATTTTCCGTGGCATTTTTCTTCAGAAAAGTCAATCTTGGGCCAAAATTCAAGACGAGGCATTTGCCTCGTCTTGCCTCATGCTATCTATGGCCCTGATTTAGTTGGAAATCATAGATCAGGCGAAATGGACCGACTGAAATGAAATCGGCAAATGTCATCTGAGTTACAAAGGAACAATGTAAAGAACGTAAGCTGCAAGAAATATTTAGCAAATTTTTATACCAATATCTCCCTAGACATTACACTGCTACCAACTAATACCGTTTAGCAGAATTATATTCACAGTTTGAGGCCAACATTGCAGTTTGCCAGAAGATGATAACTCTGAATATAATTGTAAAAGAATTCATTTACGAAAAAGAGAGACTAGAGTTGAAACTCCGTAGAAAATAAGTATTAAACTTGTTAAATGAACCACAACATTTTGCTAAAATAAAACTCCGAAACTTCTTAAATTTCCAAGCAAAGGGGTAACAAATTTACGCGAACGAGAGCTCAAAAACAACCAAAACTCTGCGAAAACTAAAAGTACGCGTCCACGTCAGTTTTCCAATGTCAGGGTTAGAGTTCTTTAACGTGATTGGCTAATTTGTGAAATAACGCGCGCTGCGCGTGAAAACAGAAGAATACAAATGGGGGAGATGAAGCAAAAAATTTTCACTTGAAATTTGAAAACGAAAGAGATTTTCTGCAATGATACAAAGGAATCAAGAGAGTTGACTTTATCGAAGTCAAGTTTGATTTTGCAACGTGGTTTGTAGTTTGTAACGCAGCAATGCATTTTTTAAAAGCCAAGTTGTTCACTTAATGAGCGTCGTTCTTAACCCAGAGATAGACATGGGCTCCAAAGATTTAAAAGAGGCTTGATTAAAATTCAGTAGATAAATGCTTAACCTCGTGTGGAAAGCATCATGTGTGTGAAAATAGCATCCATCAAGGAAGAGAAGTGTCATTCAGCCACTTCACGCCGTGACTGGGAGGGAAACTAGTATTCCTGAGCTGTAAGTAAACGTAATGCCTCTCTGACTTGACACATCCTTCCTTTAAACTAAAGACTTTTATTTTTTGCTTTCTTGTGACAGTTGTCCTAAAAGTTTCCATCCGCAGTGAAGCGGGCGAGGATCCAGGCAAGGCAACGCACTCATGCGGCAATGCTTACATCCTGAAAGTGAATGGAAAGGACTCTTCTCCTTATCTCAGAGGCCAGAGAAAAGTTACTGCAAGACTCGCCGTGACTGAACTGAGATTCGTGTGAAAAAAGACAATGAATTTTTTGATGAATAGGTATGAGTTCGAGACTATAGGAGGCAACTTAATTAGTTTCGTTCATTGGCCATTCATTTAAATATTTCAGATTCTTTCTACCATGAAGTGTGAGCGGATACCGACGAACTCTCAGCGAAACAGGATTACACCGTGAAATGCTGGGGGATAATTGCCTTACATTAGGAAGGAGGAGCATCATGCAACGAAAACTGGGAGCCGCTCAAGCGGAGTTAGTCCCTTACATGAAACGAAACATTCTTCACTGTTTGAGAATTTCTTCTAACAACATACTCTATGAAATTGCGAGATTCGCAAGTCGAAATTTCTCAAACAATTCATTGCTTGTGCGACGCGAAGTTCAGGGCATGGCCACGAGTTGAAATCCACTGACAACGACTGCACACAGGCATTTCTGAGCACCTTTTTTCCGTTATCCGAGCTAGCTGGTAGGGTTGTGACGTTTTCGAGTCGCGTTAACCTCTCGTGATATATGTGGGGCTGTCGACATCCAGCACACTGTAAAAAGATATACTTCCTCCATCTACCAGAGCGATTTTAAGTGGAACACGAGCGCATTCCTTTTTCATAGCGCTCATAACCGCCAGTGAAGGGGGAGGGTCACAAAACCTGAAAGTACAGAATTGACCAGTTTCATGATAAATTACACCTTAACCGTGGCCTGACTGACTCAATTAGGAGCGGGGTGGGTTACCGTGCATGAGGTCGAGGCTTCCGACTCACAGCAGACAAACATAGCAACATTTGACTAAATTAAATGAGGATTTTTAATCGGAGGACACCGTCAGGTAGGCACGAAGCCCCCTGTAAACGACACTTATGGTTGCGAAGGAAAAGATTGGACAAACTACATATAACAGACTCAAAAGTTCGACGTTAATTGAAGAATTCACTTCGCATCACGCTTCACAACCCCTTTTCTTCATTCCTTTTAAGAATGAGTGTGGATTTACAAGGTTGTATTCTTTAACGATTGCCCCTTCGCGAGTTGGGAAGAAACAGTAAAGATAGGGACCTGAAAGAGTTGGAAAGGAACCCAGTATTGATCTTATTACTTGGAGAAATGACATTTTTAAGAGTTATAGGAATTGTAACCTTTCCTATTAGCACTACGATATTTGCGGTTCAAACTGAATCTGAGATTTGGAACTCTAGGAGGATAAATGAGGGCCCATTTTTAGAAACTTTTCAAAAGTAGAGCACAAGCACAAGTTACCTGCATACAGAGACACAGAAGTCTGGAGTCCCTGGATCTGATTTCTTGAAATTCAGCCCAGGCTGATAAACATCAAATGCTATTTGAAGAGATTGCTGTTTTGTGCTGTAGACCGAATAGCAGTAAGCAGACATTTTAAAGTCAATGATGACCCATCAGCCCATTACAGAGCAGTGGTCATAGTGATACACAAAGTGCATGTAACTAATGACAATGGTTGGGTTCATTCTACTCTTGGAATCAAGTTCACAATTAAATAACTAATTTAATAGGAACATTTTCCAAAAGACTAACATTAGTTTTCAACAAATTGTATTGCCAATTTAGTTAGAATCATAGACTGAAGACTAACATTAGTTTCCAACAATGAAACCAGGCAATCCAGTAGGATTGGTAACGCTTCCCCCCCCTCCCCTCCCCAAAGTATAAATCTGATCACTCCACTTCAAATGTGCTCCTTGTTCCTATTTGCATAGGAAACAACATGATCAAGGACAAGTAGTCTTCTTTGAAAAATTTACAAGTGTCTATTTACACCAAATTGCACGAAAAATCATGTCGTTACTTGTTAAAAATTAATATGAAAAATGCATCACAGTCAGGCAAGATGGACGAAATTTTGGAAGTGGGTGAGCGGAATTTGAAATTTGCATTTGTGTTACAACATTGTACTTATGTCACATGAAAAATGCACTCATTTTCAGCCAATCAGCCACAAGTAATTTTTCATGCATATTATTAGGTACTTTAATATCACTGTCACTTTTCACAGCTCTCCTGCCTTAATTTTGGCCTGTATCCTCACTGCTTGCCAATGGCCTTGCAGTTGCAGACTTTCCTATGACTTGATATTATGAAATGAGGTAATGAGCCCTCTGAAGGATAGCACCCTAAAATGTTTAATACAGAGGTACCTTAAATCATTAGCTTCAGTCATCCTTTGGTTTTTGATTACTTGTAGCTTGGACAAAACTGCAGCTAAAAAGGCACCAAAGTAATTTTAGAATACAAAAGCTGAAACTCTACTAGAGTGTTAAGGGCTTGCTTCCAGTAGGGCCTGAAGTCCATCCCCAATCATCCTGGCTCCTTAGGTTTTCCTCCATATTCTCTAGTCTTCTTCTCTCCAGAATAAACAACACCCCTAATTCCAATTCCAATTCAACTTGGAGACAAAGGCCAATAGGAGCATCCCCATGCTTATCCTGATTAATCTGATTCTACTGATTTTTTTGTTAATTTAGCTCCATAAAAAGACTATAGATACAAGGTATCATATAACATTGACACATCTCAAGATTTCAATGAGTCTACTTTGAACACTACATATACATGCGACATACCTGTGGAGGTGGCATCCTCTGGCCTCACAAGGGGTCTACAGCCATCTTCACTGGTCCAAAGGTGGGTAACAGGAGATGACGCCAGTGGTTTGCTACCTTTACCATGAGCAGTGTCAACACTTCCTTCACTTTCAACAGATGTCACAGTTTCTTGTTGTTTTTTCTTCTCTGGGCTGACCATATCAGTCTGTGTGTCTGATCCATGTTTTTTTCTAAACAAGAAACACATTCACAGTGAATCCGACACCATATGCATGGTAAATTTAAATATGACAGGCTGGTGACTTAAATTTTCATAGAGTTAGAGATATTCAAATATTCAACAATAATTATTGACACATACCTCAGGTTCTTGCTTCTGAAAAACATGTAAAGTACATGTATAAGAATTTAATTATACCTTGATTGATGTCTTAGAACTGTGAATCCCAAGCGCAGAAAATAAGTGTAAACCTGGAATAACACAACACAACACAGATTTTCAAAAAAGAAGAAAAATTATTAAATTGTTACAATAAATATCAAATATATGGAATATGTTCTTAGAGCTGTCAATAAAAAACTCTAACACCAAACATTTCATTAGTGTGGATACTTCACTTCATTAGTTTCAAAACACTGAAAACATTAAACCTTCAGCACTCATCATTAAAAGGACTTAAACATATAGAAAACCCAGAGATTACAGTGTACAAAACTTGGTATCCAATACAGGGAACCATTAAGACATAAACTGATCATAGCACACCTTTCTTCAAATAAAACAAACACAATTTCATTATAAGTATTAAAAAATAGTAATATTTTATTTCCACCAACCAAATAGAAATCAGGAGAGAAACCATCAGAGAGCATAGTCATATAGGCCTACAGTGCATCAGATTAAAAATAAAAGGAAAATAAACTTTATGTTATCAATGATAATACAACTTGGATACAGGAAAGGAAATGATCAATTAGAAACACTTTGATAGCATTTCTATATTATAAGGTCTAAGCAGACATCATTTTCAACTTAAAGAGTTCAAGCTTTACACTTGCACATGCAGTTTACTCTGAGATATGTTGAGCAATATATGCACATGCCAATACATGCATAATGTATGCATATACTGTGTAGATTTGTAAATGTATTTTGTTTTGAAAGAAGGAAGGACATATCATTCTTGCTACCTGTTGAAAAGACATTGGAAGTCCACCATAATACAGTGCCAGCGATCCCTGAAACATTAAATTAAAGCAAGTTATCATCAGTAGGGATAATTGCAAAATTTTGCCATTCAGTTTATTTCACTTTTAAGAATGATCTCAATTTATAGAGTGTATTATAGCTGGTTCTGTGTGATTTGCTTATAAAAATAAGATAGTACAAAAGAATACTCAGAAAAACAAAAATGAATTAATCAAATACCCAAATGAAATGCAATATACCTGTTCAAGAAGAAAAAGAGCTTCATGTGGTTGTAGTAACATTTTGCCATGTTTTTGATGTCCAAAGTGCTGCCAGTGAGGACCCTGCAAAAAGGGAAGGCAACTTAACCTTGATAGCTTGTCACCTGAATCTGTTATAACAGAGTTCATTTCTAATGTCTAACACCTGACAGACATATGCAAGAGACTTTGACATGTAGACAATTGGCCAAGACTTGGATCCAGACATATGGGCTTTCATTTATCAACTTTTCTCAGAATGGTAGCCCTTCCATCACTTTCAGGTAGAACAAAAAAACTTATACACTAAGCTCTGCGGAAATGTGCTAGAGCATAAATCAATGGGCAAACAATCAAACAAACCAAATTTTTTTTTAAAACATTATACATGCATTTCTAGACAACTATTCACCTTTGTTACTGACATCTCCACAACTTTTTCACCAGGAACCCATGTGCCTACAGATAAGTTGCTCCTGTCAGAAACATGAATCAAAATTGCAATCACTAACTGTATTAACTGATGTTTCGGAGTCTTCATGATGCTATTGTCGGGGTAAACGTTAGGATAATGAATTCTGCAAGTAATGATAACTGCCATAATCTTACATAATAAAGTATGCAAGATTAAATTACAGAAATACTTAAACACTGATTGAGTCAGATGGCATGTTCAGAGTTGATTTTAGTTTTCTGATGAATAACATCTCATGCATTAAGCAATCAAATTTATTTTTGCATTTCTTTAGAACCGTGAAGCAGGGACCTTGCCATGTTTGTCTTGGTAGTGTTTAAACCAAACTAAAACCAACTCCGAACATGCAATTCGACTCAATCCACGTTAAAGTATCCCTGTAATTTAATCTCGCATTCTTTATCAAGTAAATTTTTTGCAGTTATTAATGGTCGCAGAATTCACTATCCTCGCATAAATTGCCTTGACAATGGCGTCATGAAGACTTCGAAACGTCGGTTCATATCGCTATTATTTACGTGTTTATGTATAACTAAATCTTAATTGATAACTAATTGTATTGTATAAAAATTACTTCAGTAAGTGAACTTTACATTCAAGTTCAAATCTTAAAGTCATTCGCAGAAAGACATGTCTTTAAATTCCAAGTCACAATAAGTAGTTTGTTACCCGCGGTGTGGTAAGAGAGCAAAGAAAAGAACTCAATAAAATATACTTTTTTGCAACTCTTTGTTCCTGTAGGACATCTCCATGTTCCTGAAGCAAGGACGACAAGATTTTTTCATCTGCATCTACATCCGGAGCGAATGCCTTAGGTCCTCCTTGCAGTGGTAACTGAGAAGGTTTCTTTTTGTGTGCCAGTAGATCTTCAGGGCTAAAATTTGGGCAGAGATTAAAGGTATTAAAATGGAAAGAAAGAGCCTTCTTCACTTAGCATAGCACTAATGGGTGTTTTTCTGGGCATTTGATGACCAATGTGAGATGAGCCAAAAACTTTACCAAAAACTCGTTCTCAAATTGCAAGAGCAAAGTCTTACCAGAATAAAATATTCAGATCAGACATGACTCTTTCTTTGGAAATAGATACTACGTCCTTTCAAACAACATCCAAATAACTAGAGACATGATCTTATTATATAAAAGAGGACAATCTCGTGCACAAAACAGCCGCCATCTTGGCTTAGTATCCTCGCCAGAGGTTCCGTATATTTGCGGGTTCCCAGTCTTTACTCTATGAGTTCACATCAAGCGAGCAGGTGCGCGCATCAACCTTTATTGTAAGACTACTCTGTGAGCCAGGCAAATCCTGTATTTTCATTCGCTACTCGAGTGGGCAAGATTAGATGAACCTGTCTTACAAATGCTTGAGGCCGGTGTGCATGCTTCACAAGTTCAAGGCTTTCTAGTTTTTTCTGCTAAGAGGAAAAAGTTTTCTAAAAGTTTAAGCCAAGTTAGAGTCGTAGAATTTTTTTAAGCAATTATAGCATAGAAAACCGCGAAAATTTATCTTATCTTATTCTAAAGTTCCACGTCAAAACCGCAAGGAGGCGTCCAATAAAACGGAAAGGCTATTCAATGGGTACATCTATCTCTTGTCAATCACTAACCAAACAGGCTCGCAATTAAGTGCTGCCTTTTGTAAACATTTCAGTATATGTTACAGAGTTTCTGGTTTCTCGCCAAAAAACGATGATACATTCTTTAAAATAGATTGATCGACTTTGTCACTGTGCGTTACAGATATTCTGTTTGGATCATAGAAGGTATTTAATTAGAAACTTCGTGGACAGGAGCCAATTCCAATGACATGGACAGTCACTAACACTGAAGCATGGTTTTAAAGTTTCTTCTCCTTTACTTGTTTCTCCTAGATTTTCAGGTAATCGAAGTTATGAATTAAGACGTTTACTAAACCAAAAACTATCAAAGTTTCGCGATAGTCTTGCGAAAAAAGGAGCTAATTGGGCGACATCAAAGTATAATTTTGTTTGATTCAAACATAATCTTTCGTCCAAAGCTATGAATGTTTTTGTTCTGTCCTTAGGTACAATTAAGTCAGTTTTGTGCAATTTTTTTTTTATCTAAAAGAAGAAACTTGGTATGATTAGTTGAAGGTAATAGTCTAAATTTGAGCTGAAATGAATTATTAATTTGATCGGTGAAACGAAAGACGAAATCTATCTTTTGTGGTTTTTGATAATGAAGGAAGAAGCTATTTTCTTTTTCCATCATTGCAGGAGGGTTTTTTTTACTTCTGCGTTATTAGTGTCATGAATCAAACTTTTTAATTGGGGTCACATTTACCACAAACCCTCTTTTAAGTGCTACATCTTCGTGAAAAATCTCTACAAAATCTAGGCCAACAAATTTTTACATTATTCCTTCAACAGATATGAGGTGTGTGCAAAATACATCAAGTTTGTATATCATAGCGCAATAATATAATTTACTGCGCGTGGATTTAACTAGATCACTAAAATTCGAATCCAAAGACAGAATGAGGTAGTTGCGATTTGTTTCGGCAGTTGTTTTAAGTCAAGCAAAATTTCTCATTGTCTAGTTTCATTTTCCTAAGAATGTTATCGTGGCCTGTGTTGCGGCTGTTTCTGCAGGCAACCGCTACACGTCTATCGCTGGCTTTCTAACTCGCCTTTTTTTCTTTTTTTACCAGGATCCTGGAACGCACTAATCTATTATTTTAACACTGTATCTTGTCTTTTGTGCCACAGTAAAATATTTTATTTGTTTTCAGGCTCAATCATGCTTTGCACAAAACGACGTGTTTCTTCCATCAGCCAAGGTGAAGACGTTGGAACCCGAGATCACGACCTCGACTCCTCTGCCCGTGACCGAGAGGAACCTGTGGGGAATAAGAATGTGGCAGGTGGCGGGATTAGCCTTCCTGTCCACCGTAGTGCTTGGTGAGTGTCTACTGATAACAGCGTCATCCCAAACTGTAAACCGGCTTCTATTGGGAAGACACCGAGGCCAATTTACCTCAACAAATGAGTTCATACAACGAAATTATTTTGTAATAACCCTCACTGACGCAGCGCCAGAGTTTCATTAGAAACCTACCCATGGGGACTGGGGATAGGGCTCGTCCTCGTCTCACTGGTTTTTAACTAAGCTTATGCGTTTGATTTTAGTCATATTTTGTTGCTGCCTCTGTGACTGTCGTATCCCTAAGACTACTTATGACAAAGAGGAAAAGCCACAAGAAGACAGTGACTGCAGTGACATTGAACCAGCGGTTACCGTCTGTCAAGCACCAGTGGTGACACAAAAGCAAGAGCCTGAGGGCGAGAAAATGCTGGTTAACGGTTCCTCTCCCCAGGAACGTCACAGGGGCTCCAGAAAACACGAGATAGGAAAAGCAAATTCTGCTTTCGAGAACGACGGCGAAAATTCTGCTCTGCATAATGAAAACTGGATAGGAAAGCCGCGTATTTCATTCAGCCGGCAGCCCTAAAACATATTACGGTGTTGATATAAACTGAGGAGTGCACAGAGCTAAAGAAAAGCACTAACGTCCCAATTAAGACAACGCATAACTTTATTTTAATGGAGATGACTTACTAGTCTTACGGACAAGTTCAAGTCTGTTATACAATTACTCCCATAGCTTTCTCAAGAATAGTTTAATCACATTATACTGCGACTAATATCAGTTGAAGAGGTAAAATTTAGGTTTCAACGACAAATGAAGCGGAAACATACCCGCATACATTCGTCATCTCTTCCGAAGAAATCCTCGACACTTTTCTATACCAAGTGGTCCTTTATAGCAGCCATCTCTATTCTAAAAAGTTTCTACCTTTTGCACAAATATTACAAATGTCATACTGCAGTTTGCACGCAACCTCAGGTGACGTTCCATTACCATAAAATAAAAATATTTGCTTCCAAAAAAGTGGTACTCCATATCAAGTTATATTCTCAACATTCAATAAAAGTTTTTACTACGATCAAGAAAAACAGAATGTCACATGTATCTCTAAATACTTCATGCAATCGATCTGTCATTAAATCGTATAAAAATTATCGTACAGGTATTCACACCTGATTGTCATAAATAATTAAATAATTTAGATTAAAAAATATAGATGCCTCCGCTAACTTTCAATATAAAACAATCAAGATCTTTTTGATAAAAACGCTCTATGCGTTAGCCGATAGATCTATCTATCTACATGTTCAAAAGACTCTAAATAGCCTTAAAAAGTAGGCATGAATGATTAAGTAACCCTTTTCGGCTTTCGTATTAACAAGTTTTAAAATTTTTCGCTGCAAACGTGTATTGCAAAAGTTTTCCCGCAAAGTGATACATCTTAAAGCTTCTCAGAAAAGTCAGGCGAAGAGGATGACGTCACTGTCTTATTTCAGAACGCCATACTGTTGATCTCGCCTCGTCCTCTTATGTTTGGAAGGTCAGTGTTGGAGGATACATCTGATGATGATGGCGGAGAAGCAGCAGTTAACAACGGATTAGCTCCTACTGAACTGAAACGCCCGGGTTTCCACGAATCCTCGAAGGAATGAAACTCCATTGAGGACCGGTGCATGGCGTTGTACTGAATGAGAGGAAAAAAAAAACAGAATTCACTATCACATAAGCAGACATTCGTTGAGCTAAATTTTAAGTTGGTACCTCTCTGAATCAAGGATAATTCATCGATATTTCTCTCTGTTATGACATTTAACTTGTGTACAAGGAAAATATAATTTTATAAATCACTTAATGTAAGTTATGAAACATTGATCGTCAGATTAGAGTTTGCAGTTCATCATAAAATTTAGATTAAGCAGAGGATAAAACGGAGAGCCCGTGCAGCCACAAACTAAAATGACTACCATTATACCAGACTTTGTACCGCTTAGTTGTCAGCCAGTCAGAGGTCAATCATCAGTAGTTAGTCACTCAGTAAGATGCTAAGTTGCTCCGTCAATCAGTTGGTAAGTCACTCAGTGGTTCTGTCAGTCAGTCATTTGGTAAGTCAGTCAGTGGCTTTGTCAGTCAGTCAGTTGGTAAGTCAGTCAGTGGCTTTGTCAGTCAGTCAGTTGGTAAGTCAGTCGGTGGCTCTGTCAGTCAGTTGGTAAGTCAGTCAGTGGTTCAGTCAGTCAGTCAGTTGTTCTGTCAGACAGTCAGCCAGTTGGTTGGTAAGTCAGTCAGTGGCTCTGTCAGTCAGTCAGTCGTTCTGTCAGACAGTCAGTCAGTCACTCTGTCAGAGAGAGTCAGTCAGTGGTCCGTCACTTGGACGGTTAGTCAGTCAGACAACCAACCAGTCCACCATTCCCCAACTCCGTCGGTCAATTTCTCAATAAATCAATATCAGTCAGTCTACATATTCATTACCGTTGGTGTCTGCAGATCGTTGGGAATGAGGGGTACAGACTCCGTTCTGGGATCTTCTTCCGAAATAGACTGGTAAGGAGTTCCAATAGGGGAGTCAGAGCTGAGCAAGATTAGATGAGAGGAGAAACACGACACAAGTGAGTATTCACTCAACCACCTTAAATACACCAGTTTCATTCGCAAAGGACAGAGGAATGTTTAAAACGTATTTGGGCATGGGAGATAAGACTGGAGACATGTTGTTATCGGATTGCTGTGGAAAAGAAAAAGGTGTAGGCTTCTAAAAAAAAACTGTGGTGCTGCGTCGGTGGGGGAGTATAACAAGATAGCTTTGTTTCATTAACTGAGTCGATAATGTAAATTGTCCACCGTGAAGAGTTTTTAATCTGACGTTCCGAGCGTTGACCCTTAGTCATAGTGAAAGTATAGCAAAACAGTTGATTTAAATGAATGTTCAAGCCACTCACCCACACACGTGTAAAATGCTACGGTGCTTTCGACCCTTGGATGACGGAGTTCTGGTGAAAGAAGTAAGAGTATAGGGTTGTCATAGCAATTAATACAAATAAGGACAAATACATATACATGTACACATTGACCAGCAAAAAGTATCACTGGAAGGAAAGCCAAATCTAGATCAACCTAAGACTTGGATGGTAGCTTCCCACATCTTGAGCAGATTCTTTCGGTGGCAAACTTAAACACGAAGAAATATACAGGAAAAAAACGGTTTTCACACTTCATTTTCTTCGTTCTCGTACAAAGAGGGAAATTTGAAAGCTGTTAAGTCTCATTTCCAGAGTGAGGGAATATCTTGCGTAAAAGCCCAAGAATTAATGGCCCACGTTTGACGTTTGAACATGGGTCATAAAAAAGGAAAATCCTTAGTCAATTACATGGAGTAGAAGCTTACTCAGGTAAGCATTTTGGGTTAAATTTATAACACAGAGCAAAAACAGGTTTTGAGTTTCTTGTTTCACAAATCATTTCTCTACATGACTCTGCCTGGAGAGAGCCTCGATTTTGTGTTCTAGACCCAGTCTTCAACCTCTACCTACGACCACACATATCCAATGTGGTGTATTCTCATGTGAAGATGCAGTATGAATAAAGGGGTAAGTTTCTAAAGAAACTGGGGTGCTGCGTCGGTGGGAGAGTATAGCAGGTAATTAAGTGTTAACAACTGGGTTGAAAACGTAAATTAGCCACCGCAAAGAGTAAAAAAGCTGAGAATGTGGCTGCAGTACTCCATCGCTCTGACGAAGGGCTAACGCTCGAAACGTCAGCTTTTTTACTCTTTACGGTGGCTAATTTACGTTTTCAACCCAGTTGTTAACACTAAATTACCTGAAGATGCAGTAGTTACCTAAGTAATATGGGCAGCACCAGAGTGAGGTTAATGATGAGGAAAAACCCAATTAGAAGAGTCATAAGAAACAGTTCAGCAACACCCTCCCTGCAATGGAACCATAAATATCATTAAGCAGTACATTTTGTTTACTTTTATACGTTTATTCACAAGTTAATCTCTCCAACACCAACCCAATGTCTAAGAAAAGTCCACTTTTTTTTATCCCCTGAGCCGAGTCTCTCTCCAATTTGTTTTGGATGTCCAGAGACTTAAGCTTACCAAAAGTGTTTCCCTGACAACCAGACAGTAAGGATTGATTATTACAACTGTGATTGGAAGGCACAGTGCTCAGAATTATGATTAGTGCACTGGCCTTTTGATCAAAAAGTGTTGATTCACCAGCAACCTCTGATAAAATGTCTGGTGGTGAGCTGTCATATCCTGGCATCCCATTCAATGGGAATGTGGTTGCAGTACTCCAACTCACAAATGACTTAAAAACTGGGATAAGCCCTGAAGGGGTCAGCCAGTGGCTCAAGAGAACACCTCACTGTTGACAAATAAGATCTCATTGACACACACTAACTGATTTGTTATACTTACACTATGTAATAACACACAGAGTACTGGGCACACTTGAATTGCTACAATTAAAAAAAATATATTTTACACATTACAGAGCAATACATAACTGTCTCTCTTATTGCAGACTGTAACACTCAAACAGAAGATAAAATATCTAAATGTGTTTGTAGGAAGTAAATTTCCTTGTTAATCCACGATGGTTGGTTTTTTTACATTTTTTTCCCAAGAAAAACTAAATGAGGGTATATATTATCCATCTCTTTGCCGTGGTGGAAACTTTGTTTAGGAAAAGCAATAACAATTGAGTCTGGCTCCAACTCCAGAGCTGTTTGATTTAGGATTATTAATATCCAAACAAATGTTCATCCTATGATCAAGAAAGTGAACAATTCAGCTTGTTAAAGCTCATTAACAGCTGAACTAGTCTCTCACTAATGGCAAGTTGATAAAGACCATTTAACTCCCCTTTTATTTTTGTCTTTTAACCAAAAAAACAAAGTTTCTCAACACATCTTGACCAATTTTCTCCCCAGTGATGTAGAAGAATAGGGGTGACAAAACATTTATAAAACAAGATCTCGTCATCAAATGAGAAATTCTGAGTAAATCAGGATCAATCTGGAATTCCATTTCTTTCCCTTCACTTTACTTTGTACTTGGTCTAAAAATTGTGTGACCCTCCCAACCAGACAGATGCAAAACAAACATTAATAGCAACTTGGTCACAAGTTTTCCACCACTTTACTCAGTTTCCTCATTTTTATCTTGAGTTTGCATCATCTTCAAGTGATATTTTCTTTTGTCATGATTTGCCATTTTGATCACTCAGATTTTGCTTTCTCTACATGCATTTGGGCAGTTTCATACCTCATGTGCATATCCACAGTCAAGATTCTTGGCTATAATGGACACACTTTCTTGTGACTGGTGCAAGTCCCAGTCACCTTTCGAAAGATTATCTTCACACTCAGGAGGCAAATGATCTTTCAATTCCTGAACATAAATATTTTTCACACAACAATTGAGGTTTTGAGAGTTTGACTTAATAATAAGTTTAATTTTATAAATTAAACTTCAATTTCAATACATTGGATGGTAAGAGATTAAAAGACATCCTAGTTCTAACTTCTGTCAATGGGGGAGGGGGGGGGATGGAAATGGGGTGGCATTTAAAGACCAGTATCATGTCAGGGCTCTACAGTTTGCTAAATGAAGTAAGATCTTGTATACTACACTTTTTGGACAGATCGTTGGATATAAAATGTTGGGTAAAGGAGGTAATGTGCTTCGTGGAACACAAGCACCACACATACCACCCATTACCCCCATGGGAAATGTTAGTGGCCTAATCAGGTGAGAGCCCTTAGCCTCTCATCTACAAAATTTTGTTCAGTATTGGAAGATATCAAATGTATCTCATACATACATGTGCTCGCTCCATAAGAATAAGAAATGTTCTTAAAGCTTCCTCCAAATGTTCCTTGGCCTTATCTGCATACTAAGTACAAAGAAAAAGAAAAATTTTATTCATTCAAATAAAACCTTAACTATTAACACAAAGTAAGTCAGCAATAATTCTACTTCCAGCAACGATTTTGTCAGGCTTTAACAATGCACCTTAGAGTTCAGCAATTGATATTGAAATAGAGTACTGAACATCATGTACTTTCAAAAAGTCAGTAGCTTTAAAAGTTCTCTGACCTTTTGATTTGGATTATGTTCATCCAGTGGGCAGTCCATATAGTATTTCACAACACCTGTGTAAAGAAATAAGACAACTCGATGCAAAAAAAATTTCACATCATAGAGAACCTAATGCAAAGAATAAAAGATTCGACTGAGGATGGGTTTACAGTAGTTTATTTTGATCTGTGGTCAGATCATTCCAAGTACACTCCTTTTTCACACTATAGTCAGATTCTCTCACAATAGAAGTACAACCTCTCTTCAATATAACTGTCTTGCCATTTGTCCAGTGTGAACCCTTTAACCCCTAGGTGTGATTGGAGTCTAATTTCTCCTTACAGTATCATCCCTGAATCATATCATGACAGGGTGGAAAGGGTCAATTGATCAAGAACAAACCTAAACTCAAAGCAATTAGAAAAAAAAGAAAATACTAAATATCTTACCAGTATTTTTCAACACAGGTTGACTATTGACGTAGTAATTAACTGTTCCTTTAGGATTCACACACAGATCAGACATACCCTGTACAAAAACGGCTCGTCAGAAAATTGCAAACTAAAGTATCTTGCTGTGTACACCTCTGACCTGGTAATTAATAATGGTAATAGGACTGAGTGGAGTCCAATTCGGTCTGAAATGATACATTCAAGTGATTAACAAAATTGGATGACCACAAAGTGGGGGTCCAATTTGTCAATTATGAGTATGATTACAGACACAATTGGAAGACAGAAAGTCCTGTTACCAATTAATCATAACCGTAACAATTTCTGAAAATAACAAATGCATTTAGGAAAAACATCTCCAGTAGCAACAATGCCTAAAGCAACAAAATTTCTCCATTTTGGAAATTCCTCAGTTTTTCTAGGATAAGTGGTTGTTGCTATGGTTATTGTGATTAATTCTGTGATTGGTGGAGTTGGTTAAGTGGACTTAGTATGATTAGATTCTTCAGCTGTGTGATTACAGGTGTCCAATTACAGCCAATTGTCTGATTACACTGTTCGATTACACTGTCCGATTACAGCTGTACAGAATGATTTATGAAAAATAAAGCAGCTAATGTACCAATAATATATGAGGAAATTGTAATGGTTATGATTAAAGTTATTTATATGTGTATGGTTATGTAAAATACACTGTTATGAACAAATGAAGGACATGTAACTTAAGTTTGTTATGTTAAATCAAATATAAGAGTGCCATTAGCATTGTTCTGTGAGTAATCATCATAACTACTAAGCTTGTGTAAGACCTTGCAGTCAAGAGACTAAAGCAGTAAACAACAATTCACATATAGATCAAAACAATGTCAACTGTGTGGTTGTTGTAAAAGTGATTGAGTTCTGTAAGTAACTTACAACTGCCAAAGCCAAATCAACTCCTGCACCACACCAGATTATTAGGAGGCAGATGATTCCAACTAATATGGCTCTGCAAAGATACAAGTCAATTTAAGAGTAATGAAAGGAAAACATCTGCCCTTAGCAAGGTTTGAAGTGTGACCCATGCAAAACATGACCTAGATAATTATATAGATTACAACTGAGGTGGAAATGTTGCCATAGTCAGCACACTGTGTATAATGCTGAGAGGCAAATGTGCAAGGGGGATCTACAAGGTTCAGTACTTACAGTACAAATCCACATCTGCTCCTTCTTAAAATTGCATAAATCATGAGCACACAAGCAAGAGTGGTCAAACACATTGTACCAAATGTAGTCCACCGTCTGAAATTCATAAAAAAATAGCTTATTTTATCATCTTGATCATAGTTTATTGTAGAAACCCTTTATGAAACATTTACGAAATCTTCGAAAGTACAAACACAACAACAACAATAAACAAAAAACCCTGTATGTTATAGACTGCTTCACTACCTTGCCATGACAATTTGGTTGACCTCGGGTAAGAGAAAATGATAGTTATCTCACCTGTAATACTCAATGTCATGGATATCTCCATTTATGGGAGGAAGATTAACTCTCTTTATTCTCACTAAACTGGTCACAATGCCTTCCAAGTAGATTCTAATTTTATCTATCAACTCTTCACCAATAGAAAATCCCACACAGTCTGATTTAGCATCAAGGAGGATGCTGTCCATGTCTATCAGCTTATCTTTTACAAAATCAACCTGGAATATAACATAGTCCCATAAGATTATAGTTTGTTAAAAAAAAAACACATTAACTCTTTACACCCTGACATCAGTATGCAAGTTTTCCTTCCTATTGTCTAATACATTTTTTAGGGTGCTGAAAAGGAGAATTTTTAGGACAATCAGGAGCTTCTTCAGTTGGTGATCATTGCCTTTCTTCTTGTGACCTTTGTGTGCGATCCAGGGGCCACATTGTAAGGAGAAATTAGATGCTAGTCACCCACAGGTATTTAAGGGTTAACCCTTAAACTCCCAGATAAATCTTTTAATTTTCCTTACTGTTAACCATACAATTCTTATAATGTTGGTTCAGAGAATTTAGTATTGGATCAACCAATTATCCACAAATTGATATTTTTCTTTATTCTCATCACTTGTCTGGTTGATATTGTATTGATATTGTAAGGAGAAATTCTTTCTTGGTCACTCATGGGAGTTAAAGGGTTAATTCAGTGATATGTTTATCATCAAGTAAAGAGTTGATCCTTCCAAGTGGACTGCAATTTTGGCAAATGCAGAAAAGAAGCCTGGAAAAATTCAGGCTTTGAACCTGTGCCTCCCAAATACTAGTTGGGCGTTTAACTACAATTCCTCTCAGAAACCCCTTTTCTGCAATGGCTAAAATTGCAGTCCATTTGCCAGGATCATTTCTTTGCTTGATTTATATCTGCAGTTCTAGTGAAATTTATAACAAGGCATTAAGATATTGACCAGACATCTCTGGTGTAAAAGCTGAAGTAAACAATTCTTCCATTGAGACTAGATACATCTATGTAAATGTTATTTCTGATTACAGATGTGATGGTATAATTTCAAAAGAATAATATTGATTACTTCAACTGCAAGGTCTAAATTTCATGCAAGAAAATAAAGAGACTTTATTCAACTTACACATGTCAAGTAACTTTGAAAAATTCATACCTTTGTTTCTATTTCTATGAGACTTTCATTCACATTTTCTGCTGCTGCAAGCACTCCTGTTACTCCTTCATCTATTGTTTCATTAAAGACAAATCCTGCAATTCCTGCACCACTGAAATAAATGATAAATTGAGGTGACAAAAAGAATAACAGTACACCATTTAAACTGATTCTTAAATTTTCCAGTACTTTTTAACTAATCCATTGATATGATTGACTCTGAAATAATATTTTTAAACTAGACATTTTAGTGATTAATTGCCCCAACAGAGTATCAAATATTACATGTACCAGTATTTCTTTCTTAATTAATTTGAAAACTCATAAACCAATATTATTTACAGGTACACCAACAGCACATGACATTTTTATTTCATACACTCTTAACTGATACTAAAAAAAATTACCAACCTGCACAAAACAGATGTAAACAGAACAATGCATCGCAAAGCTATCACACATTTTGCTTGAGGTCTTTGGTGCTTATCACAGGAACACCAACTTGCCAAGAAATGTCCACAGAAGATAAGAAATAGAAGACCACCAAAAAGGCATGGACCCAAAGCATAAAGGAATAATGCCTGCAAAGGAAATAGAAATGGTGTCAAAACTTTATAAGTAAGACCTGCAAATATTTAATGGTTATTACAGTACTGCAATTAGCTTTGGTTTTAGTTTTAGGGTAACCTCAATGGCAAAGAACAATTTATCTTTTGATAGCACAATATTTGTCAAGTTGTAACTATTCTCTTGCACACAGGCAGCCTCTTTTCTGTTTTGCGTCACTACACAGTTTAAAAGAGGTGCCACCATCAATTAGCCATACAGACATGTCTCTACCTTCGGAAAAAAAAAACAATTAACCAACTTTTCAAACGCCACTCAGTCACCCCTTTGACCGACTTGAACAGTCTACATGTAATAAGATAATTGAAAGTGGCGTCAAGAATCAACAGGTTTCGTCTGTCACGTTTTATGCCTATTTATAAGTAGAAGCCGACCTGTAGCGATACTCTGCAGGCGCAGAAATCATACAAGAAAATGTACCCCCCCGATAAGATCCCTTATATGAAGGGCAAACTTTCAGAAGTAAGCATTGTAATTCTCAAAATGCTTTAATTAAATCAAATGCAATGGCGGTACAGATGACATACATCAAATCAGGTAACAAGAATCTCTGTGTTTAATCGAATCTCTACAATACAACCCACACTCAGATTTTATTTCCACTTTAAATAAAATCAAGATCTTCATAAATGGAACCGAACAACGACTTTTAACGCACTACTGTAACTGAGCCTACGTTTGTCCAAGAAAGTCGCTACGTTGTGCCTGAGAAACGCATCAAAATAAATCTAATATTTTCCTACCTGTTGGTAATCTTGAAGAGTAGGAGCAAAAACAGATGAAACATTATGAAAATAAAAATTAACGTGCGCAAAGGAATGGAAAAATTTTGCAATCCATGGTAATTGGAAAGTATCATCAACGCTACAGTTCGCCATTACTCTGTTTCGTACCTTGTCTCTCTCTTCGACCTTCTGATCTCCAGGTCCAAACTCGTGATCTTCCCGTGAAGGCGTGGGCCTACTAGAGTCTTTATTGTAACTCGTATTTCTAAATAAGTGAGTTAGCCCTGTCCAATAGTATATGTTTAAAATCACTCACTGACAAAAGATTCCCCAACTTAAAAATATAAATACAAAAAATTTAAGAAACTGTTCATCACAAGGCTTACCTCTCGGCCGGCTTACCTTTAGGCAAGTTTCACCATCGTCCCACAGAAATTCGTTGGCTAATAACGACTCAGGCCGTTTGGTCAATCAGCTAACGTCTCAAGTAGATTAGTCTTGGGTCGACGAGTTCAGGTATAGGGTCAGCGAGTTTATAGGGACCTTGAGAAGTCAGGACGGCAACGCCAAGGAAGACGCTGATTTGAAAATGAATTTATAATTTTTGTTGGAATTTCGCGAATGACTTGATGTGTTTACCATCTCTTACAGCGACGCAAGTTAACCTCAGCATAACTTAGGAGAGCGACGTTGAGTTCCAAATGGAACTTAACTAATTTGCCGTCGTGGTTTCCTTTCACCAGGCCACACAAATTTTAGTGATTTCACGCTATTCTTTTACAGAGGACAGCCAAGGGCCTGTTTACATGGAGGTTGGGGACCCCATGGGTACCCCAGGTAGGTGAGGTAGCCCGCCTAAGTGGGGTAACCCGCCTGTCCATACAATTTCTTAATTTATCTTGATCACGTTTACATGATAGGTGGCTGGGGTGACCCGCCTGGGCGGGTTGCCCGGTCTGCCAGGTAGGGTAACCCTGTCAACCGGGGTGACAATTTGTCATGTTGAACGTCTCAAAGTAGAGTAACCCGCCTAGCCGGGACCCCGTTCATGGCAAAAAGCTCAAAAGCGAAACACGTACGTTTTAGAACTTTGTACATTTCCTAGCCATGTCATGGCAGAAATCCCCAGAAACCGCAACGGACATACAAGGAGTATAAAGTGTTCCCATTTCGGAATATATAGCGTTGTAAATAGACCATATTTCAAACTATCATTATACGTAACGTATTAAGTCAATGCATGGTTCTTCGCGTAACCTAACACCGCGTAACACAACACGTACAAATACATACGTGTCCGAGAATTAATCTTTCGTCTTTCTCGAGACGTGGGGTTGGGACGCTCATGCTCAAACTCCCTAATTGCAAGCGTAACAACAACCTCAAGAAACCTCACCCCAGCACCCCGAGCTGGTAAGATTGTATGTAAACGCGTTTTATTTTCGACCACGGCTAGGCGGGTTACGTCGCCTATCTGGGGTCCCCTACCTTGTAAACAAGCCCTAAGAAATGTACACAGTTTCGAAACGCACGTGCTGAGCTTTTGTTCTGCTCATTAGCTCTTTTGTTTTGCCACGTCCTCGTTGCCGTTGCTGTCGTGGTCTGCAAAAGGTGTCTAATGTCTCAGGTCGGCGAGCTATGGTTTCGGTTCGGCAAGGTATGTTCTCGGGTCGGTCTCGGGTCAGTCCGTTTATGTCTCGGGTCAGTCCGTTAATGTCTTGGGTCAGCGGATTCGTTAACGTCCCTGATTGGCGAGTTCGCTGTGAAGGGAGAAAGGACAATCGACTTAAAGCGCAGGAAAACGCGAGTGGCCCAGTAGCGACTGGTTTTAGACTAGAATCCAAATGGATTAGAGTAAGGGGCGCGCGTTTTCTGGACCACTCACAAAGCGAAGTAAAGCAAAACCAAAGCAACCCCAGATTAATTTTATTAGAAGCTTAATTAAAGAGAACTCTAAGGGTAGCCTCAGGGACTATGTAGAGGATTCGAGAAATTCCACAATGTATGGGTAACATTAAACAGCATTAGAGATAATGAACAAAGACAGACAATTTTCAAAACGTTTTCATTCTATATTCAAAGGTACTACCTGCTCGCAATTCGTTTACAGCGTCTTATGTAATCTTTTCTACAATTGCAACAATCGTGATTCTGAAAGCTATTCTATAAATATCACCTAAGTATTAGAAAAATCATTCAACGCATCGCATCAAGACTAAATCAACAGCATATCTATTTACGATCCCGTGATCATCAGAGATCAAACTACAGAACTAGAGGAGAGCTAAAAATGTTTACCTTTCCATCTTCATTCTTGACCAGCATGGTAAAAGCCTTGAAGGCTAAATTGAAAATGTACTTTCTCTCGAAGAAAATACTACAGCCAAAACAAATTTGATCAGCTATTTTTTCCTGATTTTCTTGTTTACTGACTTGCCACCCAAATAACATCCAATACACATAATTTTGTAACTTTTGATTGATCCTAAATATACTACAGCATTTAAGTGTGGTTAAAATGACATAAACTGTAAAAATAAAAAGTAGGTTGAAGAATGATGTTTATAATTTTTCTCTAATCTCAGACTCACTAAAGCGCTATGACACTTTTACAATGAATCCATGTAAACAAATCAATGACTAAATTCCTCTGTTCGCTTTAGTCTTAACCTTCCGCTCAATCAAATGTTGATTTAATTTTCCTTAACTCGAAAAGTAAATTTTGCTAAAGAATCTTTGTTTCACTATTGTACAAAGTCATCACTGCTCTGCTCTATCTAACCTAGAACAGCAACTACAACATGTAGTTGAGGATGAACAGTTGAGTCGTTCAGCTCACTCCGCTGAGATATTTACATAAAAATGAGTTGTTGATATATGGATATGTAAAAAAATACCTCATTTACAACATTGTAATTACCACATATGTTATATAAAAATACTGTTAAGAGATGAACGATTTACACATCTGCTTTTTACACGCACAAAAATGAATTTACAATAGGGATATAAAACTGTTACCGTACAAAAATAGGGCCAAAAAAGGCCAAAATAAACTTAAAACTGTCTCCCTATAACAGCTTTTGCCTGTAGGTATAACTGTATACTATTTAACAAACGTCTGTTTCGGGATGCGTGAGGTTTAATCTCCCTTAGAGAGAATATACATTACCTCTCAATCAATGGTATGGTTGAAGATCTTGGAAGACATTTAATGATAGAGAGATTTGGTTAAGACCTTCAAAAACGTGTGCCCGTCACTCACTAGAGGACCTGACTATAAATTAATGGTAGATGTGACAAGAAGCTAGACGAACGAGGAGTATGTTGAAATGTGGGGTTCACTTGAGTCAAAATTCTCGTTGTTGTGACCAGTTCTGTCCATGTATAAAACAGGGGGAGGAATCCTTCCGCCGTCCGAGTGATCGCTGTTACCGTCTCGACTAGAACCGTGGTAAGACGGTACTGGAGATATTCTGCCTCCGAACACTGGGTCTACAGTGTGGTAGGAGGGTGCTGGAGATACTGGAGATAACGGAGAAGGCGGGGTGTGATACCGCGGCGGTTTATTAGCAGATTTCATTTGAAGGCTGGGCAACTGTTGTGGTTGCCGCCTTCTACGACCAGGTTCTTCGTCATATTGAATTCTGGGCCGACCCATTGAATTCGCATTTGTCCTTGTATCTCGGTGGTCGTTGCTACTAGACGACGCCCGATCGGAATATTTCGAGCTACCGTCGGAATCCCGAGGATTTGGGTCAAAGTCGAGGGCTCTTCGGAAACTATTCGACCTTGGATCTCTTCTGTTTCGGTTCTGAATTTCCGTCTTCGGCAGGTAACCTATCCCAGTATTTGGACGTGTAGGTGACCGAGGTGGTGTACTGCTATCATCGTTATAGTCCATTTGATCGCGTGATCTTCTCAATGAGCCCGCAGGTCGCGTGGCCCGCGAACGCGAATAGGGCTCTTTACGATCCCGATAAGCTGGTCTCTTTTGTTTCTGCTCGTAGTCCGGTGACATGAATGACGTCACAGCCTCGGGAGGTAGTTGAGACCTTTCAATTCGGTCTAACTGGTCAGCAGATTTGGCCATGAATCTGCGATTATCGTATGCTGGAGGCCCATCTCGTTTGTCCCTCGGTAGAGACATTGCAGAGAAGGACTTGAGAGCTCTAGAGATCGGAACTTCCTCGGGTGTGTCGGATTCTTCCGTTGTGTGCTCGATTAAGTTTCGGCCATTTGCCGGCCTTGTTCGGCCAAGTGAGTTTTTCCATTGCTGGTGGTTAGGATTGTTGGAGTAGTGGCCTATGAAATTAATATCTGCCTGTTTTCTTTTGTACGTCATCTCGGACACTCCGCTGTCACTGTCCGACGGCTCTTCTTTAGAGCCCAAGCTACTCGCATCTTCCTCCGGCTCACGATTAGCGTCCCGATAAGTACTGGGGAGAGGATAAAAATCAGAAAAACGTCAGACATTAAAAACTTGTAAAAGCAGTACAAACATGTAATAGGGATTATGAGTGATACAAAAGTAAAAATAGCCCGTTCCAGGCGAGCCCAGTCGGTAAACAGAACCGTGATGTTACCCGGAGTGGCGTACAGACAACTGCAGAAAATTTAGAGCTTGGGAAGAATGCAAATTCTCTTCAATCTCTCCTCTTTGTTCTCGCTTTTCTTCAGTCGCGCTGCAGCTTAGGAGACTGGAACACAACAGATATTTACAATAACACATACATTTGAACGCTTGGAAGAGTTCCACTTCTAATGGTTCCGTTTCGCGAGGGGTTCCTCATCCTTTCAAGTGTGCTCTGTGTTGTAGAGGCCCCAGCAGACGAACCTTGATCTGCGTCTTCTAAAAAAAGAGGAATGGAGACGTTACTTTCCTTGACCAGTCGCAAATTCCATTAAGAGTAACACACAAAACAAATACAAAACCCACGGTAAGTAACGTGACCCTAAAAATGTTTCTGAAACCAGAGTGCTGTTTGCAACCTCTGATTCGATAAATTGGCTGAAAAAATGCTCTCTTCAAAGTCGATGCTGTAAGTACGTGGAAAGCCCCCCCTTCTCCCTTGCCAAAACCAACCCAAACTACCATTTCTGTTCACATTGATAGCGGATAGCCCACATTCTGGTTGTGAAGTAAACTGATCTCATTCCTAGATAATTACCATTGAAATTAGTCAAAAGTAATCAATCATACCTGCAATAACTATCGTATTTTGCAACATAAGGATTTTTTTTCACAAAAATTGCTAATCACAACATAACAGCCAATCAGAGCATGGGTACATATCATCAGTAGCCAATGAGAAAACTGCTTAGAGCGCGGGAAAAGGCGAGTGACCATACCACGACAGGAGTTTGGTTTGCACATGATCAGTTCATTAGGCGGCGCGAATCTTTAACCAATCACAGTGCGAAATAAAGCAAAACTACTGCAAACTAAGATTACCTCCAACACTCAAAAGAAAACTGTGCTAATAAAAAATGTTTATCGACAAGACCGAGGTTTGGCTCTCGTCATTTCCTTACCCTTTCTGCGCCGATAGCAGAGGTATGCGAAACCAGCGATCAACAAAACGAGAATAATAAAAAACAGCACCATTAACAGAATAAACCACCACTGTTTGTAAATGATTCCGCTCTGAAGATCGCTGTCAGCCGGACCTGCAAGGCACAAGAATTATTTGTAAAACGGCTGCCATAATCTCACACGGCGGTATAATAGACCAGCTCTAAATCCGATTTAAAACGGTGAACTGAACCGGGAATTTTGAGTATGTTTACAAGGTTTCCATCCCCATCTCAAACCCTTTATTTGCTTTTATTTTTTCACAAAAAGCTTCACAAGAGCTTTTCATGTATGGTCAAAAGGTACTGAAATCCATAGACACTCTCACAGCGCCTGGCGAGTATAGAAAGGCAATTTAATACTCACTGACACGTTTTGAGGCCGCGTACGGCTTTTCTGTTCGCTCTTACTTCGCTACGTATATCATCATTTAACATTCACACGAAATTGAGTCTGAGAGAAATTCACACTTTTCGTGATAAAGTCGAAGAACATTATTCTGAAAAGGTAACTAACTGACCAGTAATAACTCTGTCTGAAGGTTCAGATGGCTTTGATTTGCCCTTCTCGTTCCATGCGATTATTCTAAACCTGTATCCAGTGTTTGGCTCCAGATTTCCAACTGTGTAGGACACGTACGATCGGTTCTTTCTTGTATCGTCTGGATTCGCTTCCCAATTGGTAACAAAAGATTCTGATCCTGGAAACAAATAAAAAACTATGCTTTAACTTTACTCTGATTAAGAGTTTAAGAACACTGTGCGAAACTTTCCTGGAGGTTTAGTCCACCTCATTTGAGTCTATTTCATATATCGAAGTCTCTATCGAAGCCTAATGGCTTATCAATTTCAGAGCGTATTAATGAGAAACAAAAAAACACACACAAGATTGACAAAACTTCGCTGCAATTAAGCAAAAGTATGATGCAGTACAAATGGTCTGGTGAGGTGATGTAAATCTCCGATAGGAACCTTTTCCACTTTTCCCAGCCCCCCCCCCCCCCTGAAAACTGGTGTTTTCACATCTATCGACAACAAAATTAGTACTTACCATCCGTCTGTGACTGGATCTCAAACTTCTCGAAAGGAACATTACCACTGTCCCCATTCACCCACATTATAACAGCAGTAATAGAGCCCGGATGTACCACAGGTTTCCCAGGTTGCCCCGGAGGTTCTGTAACAAAGAGAAGTTATATGACAATATGACAAAGCTCAATCTTTTGTTCCTGTATTGACTTATTTGCACATACGGAATTACAGGAATGCCTTCATGAGTCTTTTCGTTGAACATGACTAGAATGCTGTTGAACTTTACACACATATGATATTATTAAAGAAATACGTCGAGTGTCAGTAGCATGGCACTTAACTATTTACACCCTAATGTTAATATTCACATTCCTCACACTGTTCTCTCTACATTTTCTATGGTAATGACAAGGAGAATTTATTTAACAATCAGGAGCTTCTTAAATTGGTGATCATTTCCTCAATTCGTATGATCTTTACATTTGATTCAAGGGTGAGACTGTAAGGAGAAACTAGAAGCCAATAACTCTCAGGAGTAATAAATCATGGTCTGAGGGAGTAAAAATTTTATTCGTGTCATTCCGGCAGGGCGAATGAACACTCACCAGCAGGCCCCTTTGTTTTTGCAAGAAACTCATTTGGCGGTCCGTAACCCATGGGATTTCTCGCACGGAGCTGAAATGAGTAACTCGTCAACATCGCCAGTCCGGTTACTTTCATCGTTTCTCTTTTTCCGTCAACAACTATCTTCTCCCGGTCGCTGTTGGGGGTCAATTCCGCTGTCCTGCCATAGCTGATCTCGTACTCAAGAATTTCTCCATTCGGTTCACAAGGTGGTTTCCAGTACAGGTCTACGCGGGCATTATAGACCGCGTCGGCACGGAAAACGGCTGGGGGCTCGGGTCCTAGTTGGGCGGAGGTAAAATAAGATTAGAAGTAATGCAAAGAATAAAGATCCATTTGTGATGGGTTACATAGAGAGTACACATTATCTCCAAAATTCAGTTCTGGCAATAATAGTTCGAACAGAATTTTGCTTGCTATTTCAGAGAGAGGTGTGGGGGGGAAGGGGGGGAAGGCGAGTAAAAAGGTTTGGAACAAATATCAATCAAAGACAAACAATATTCTCCTCAATATATCGTGCAAAGTTAACACTTACTGTCCTCATGTGTTGTAACCTCCAGCGACGTACTTGGCGGACTCTCTCCTTTGGAATTATACGCTCGCACCCAGATTCTATACTTAACATATTTCCGAAGGTTAGTGATGTTGACGTTGTTCAGGTGAGGAGGGACGAACAGCAGCTTGGGTCCAGGTTCTCGCGGACATACTCCAGCCTCCAAAGATCGTCTCCTCCTGCGGCGTCCTTGAGTCAGAGAGAGGTCTTGCGCATAAACCTACAATCAGAAAAAAAATATGGAGATTAAAAATATTTGCATTACTGAGACAATTGACAAAAGAACACTGCAGTAAGTTTCGTAAGTCACGCAACACGCGTTACTGACCTTGTATCCCATAAGATGTCCATTGAAGGAAGCTGAAGAGGGTGCGATCCACCTGACTCCAATAGATGTTCTTGTCACTGTCCCCTTTGTTAAATCCTTAGGAGCTTCCGAAGGAGCTACACATCAAGACAAAAGAGCGACACAATAATAACATTATTTCATACTTATTGTGATTTACACATAGTTCGGCCAATCAGCGACACCGAGGATGGTACGTTGCGCAGCATCAACAAACTCACTCGTCCGCTGCGCTCACTCGTTCGTTTTTTGATGCATTGCGATTCGTGAATAGAAATCGTTCGTGCGCACTTTTCATGGAATAATCTCTCTTACTTAGGTACAGACGTCTTGGCAATCCATTTGATATCCTTATCATTTATTGGCATAATGTTATTATAGTTAGTAGCGTTAGTATTGCAAGCAATGTTGCTATTGTGAAAATGCCAATATTATACGAAATACTTGTATCGTTAGTGATATTAGCCCTGTCAGTAAGTTGTGGCAATCAATTGAAATAATAATACATTTTTCAAAAAAATTTCAGAGAATGTTCCTGGCAAAGTTTTTTCTAGATTGTAAATTTACGATTTCAGCCGGTACATCCAGGGCTACGGTTGACCTCTCCTACATCAACTTTTTAAATTTTCTGTAAAGATAACTCATGGTTCAATTCCCGTTGTTTTCCCTTGTTTTTGATCGTGGCACATATTCTATCTGCTATCAAATCATACAGAGCACGATTGTCCTGGAATTCTTCAAGAGTCAAACGCTAGCAGAATAAATATCATGTTTCTTAGCGACCCCAGCCCTACCCTGCAGGTTCGACTAGCAGTCTGCATTAGTCTCACTCGACAATGAAGAAAATAAAGAGAAATCGGCCCTTGCAAAGTATGATTCTGTTAAAAAAAATAAATCCAAAAATGTTTACATCTAACATCACACTTACGTTTCTCTCCGGTTGTAACTCTGTAAAGAGGGGAATAGGGCCCAGGTCCCTTCTCGTTGACAGCCGCCACTTTGATCTCGTAGACCGTGAAAACTTTCAAGCGTTCTAATTTATGGTTACGAGAGTTGGCGTCCAAGGAAACCTCGCTAAACACACTGCTAGCGGCACTCTTTTCTCTGTGTTTTAAAATGAACCCCTGTAGAGTTCCACCCAGCTCTTGTGGAAGTGGAGCCTTTAAATTTGGATCAAAGTCAAGAAGTAAGAAATTGTTTCGTGACATAAAAATGCGAAAATGACGAGCACAAAAGGGACCCCAAGTTTTACAGATGGTGTAAATCTTAAATGAAAGAAAAATAAGCCCACCTTCCTAGAAGATCCTATGTCAAGTTCAATATTCCACCCTTCCACCTTCTCTTTAGAGGCTTAGGCAAAAAAGTCTTTTAAACACCACAATTTCTTCTTAAACTTGTAACAGACAACCTGCTTCACTTTCTGTTTTAATATTGGAGGTTTTATTCAATGAAAGGAAAGCATACCGCATAAGTAATTAATCTAAACCGGCTTCAGTCGAAAAGAAAAATCAAGTCTCGCATTTTGACGCCCAAGCACTGAAAAATGACACAAAAAGTGGCCACTTACCGCCCATTTAATGTCAAGTGACGTGGGATATGACGTCACTGTGATATTGCGTGGAGCCCCAGTCGGCACTACAACACGATTTAAAAACAAACAGCATATTAAATGACAGTCAAGCTGAAAGATTCTTACGAACTTCAAAGTTGTATCAGTTCTACGCAGCATTATTCCCAGCTCGTTTTCCGCACTTGTCAAGGAATGACTATTTGCTCTTTACATGACCAAAGGCAAACCTGTCGATAGCTCTCATAAATGAAAAACTTCCTTGAGAAGAATTTTCCCTAGCACCTTTAATAGTCTCCCAGGAAGGAAGCTACGTAAAAAAATAATAATAACAGAAATACACAAACAAACGAAAAAGTGTCTTTGATGAGGAATGTCCTGTCCCCAAGTAAATTCCGCCGCCAACAAATTTTCCCTGACAACCCTCGTTGTCCAAAAGCTGGCACGTCAGTTTACAGAGAAGATGACTTGCCAAGCAAAACCTTTTGGTACAAGTACTATTTACATTTCTAGCATAACACGTTACACTTACACGCAAGACGAGTTGTAACAGAAGAGGACGCCGCACTGTACGGACTGTTTCCCTTGTCGTTTGTGGCCATAATTCTGAACGTGTATGACTCCCCAGGAAAAAGTCCCTCCACTTTAAGGCTCCGGAAATCGTGGAGAACGTTTGCCGAGTACACCTGCCAGCCCTCGTCATTCTTGTTCAGCTGCAGGGTAAAGTACCTCAAGGGGCTCTTTGCATCTGATGTGGCTTGCCACTTAACGATTATCCATCGTTCACCGATGTCCGAGAAATAGACCGGCAAAATGTATGGTGCATCAGGAGGTTCTGTTAAGTAAGAAAACGTTATATTTCGAAGCATGAGAAAGAGGTTCCGGAAGAGGCCAAAAACTTATTTTTTTTGTTCTGTTCGTTAGTTTGTTTGTTTTCACCGATAAAAGAGGACACCCTTGAGCCAAATAGACATGGCGTAACGTTGCCAACTCGGAACTTTCTGTTCACGGATCGATGCCTGAAGAAAGGGCACAATCTCTTAAATGAGCAAAGGAGAGTCTGTGTCCCATAAGAGGTGTTGGTGATTGATGTATACGCGACGCAGCGACCTGCATGACCTGAACTCTAGGTCGAGAGGTCTGGGTTCGAGTCCTGGTGAGTCATTGTGTTGTGTTATTGGGCGAAACACTTTATTCTCAATTTACCTCGCTCTACCGAGGATTGTAATTGAGTGGAGGCAAACTGTCAGGGGAACCTAGCAAAATGCTAGCCAACTAGCATCATTGTCCTAACTAGGGGGGAAATGGCAACGAACTTAATCTTTGAAATAAAGTATCACCTCTGGCGGTATGAGCCACTTATAGAAGGTAAAGGTAACGTCTGTACTCCCCCTGAGAAGGATGCTAGTCCATAGCAAGGTTACCTCCTGGCTGGAGAGTCACTGTGAGAGGGAAGTGCGTTGCCCAAAGACACAAATCACTGACCCGGCCCAGGTCTTAAACGCGGATCTTTTGACCTGGACTCCAGCGCACTAGACATAGCGTAACGTCCCCATACTAGTAGGTGAATCACTAGAATATACAAACCTGTTGAACCACCAGTATAAACAACTGCTTCCGCTGGATATTCGCTTTGACTTGTGTTAGTCAAAGCCCAAAGGTAAAAGCGATAAAACGACTGGGGATTCAAAGGGCCAGCAGTCCTCCTGAGATCGTTTCTTCCCATGGTGCTTTGCCACACATAGGGGTCAGACGCAGATGACGTATTTAGACGACATGCTGCCTTGTATCCTTGGATGACGCCGCGCGGGTACACTGGTGGGTCCCACGCTATCGTCACGGTCTCTCGACTGACGGATGTAAAACGGACACGAGAAGGGGGACCTGGACCTGAAAATGAAATAGCAAAACAGGTTACTTTGAGCTGCCTATGATGAGAGCTAGCAACTGGCCATGTCCGAATTTTAAAAAAAGGGAAAAACGATCTAGGACGAATTTCTTGTCAGGACACTCTACTCTTGCTGTTGCTCATCTCATGAAAAGCACGTCCGTCGCTCAAGACTTATGCAACAAGTTAACAAATCACGTGGACAAGATCCAACCGCGTAGGATCGTGTCACTCCCTACGTACAACATTTTCCTTAAAACGACACGATTTTCTCTTTGAGGAATTTTACACTTTAAGAGTTCTCCACCTCTCCAATATTCATTTGCGATCCTAAGGTGATTTACAAGTTTTTACCAAATTATATTGTTATATGCACTTGGGTAACTCCTGTTTGTTGTAGAGAGCCGGACTGTCGTGCGGGAGATTGAGGGCTCAAGCTCCAGACAAGACTAATACTCCGAGCCTTAAAAAATAACGGAAGGAGAGAGTGCTGCCTTTGCTATGACATCGCAAACAGTAAGACGTTCTAGTCTTCACGGATAAGGACAATAAAACGTAGGCTCCGTCTCCTGCATCTCCTCTGTGCTGGGACGTTAAAGAACCCACGCACTTCTTGCAAAGAGTAGGGAACGTATCTTCTCATGTTGTGGTCTGGCCTTGTTTTGCCTACGCAGGCCCTCATTTAAACCAGTTTTAAAGCTGAATTGAGCCAGCCTGTCTTAACATCGCAAACAAATAAACAAATATGCGCTTTCTTTTGCAGTCAGCATAACCACTTTGATCTAAAATCGTTGCTCTTCCATCAACTTATCAAACACCTACCAAGTACAAAAGCGTTTATCTGGTAATTTAACTTACTGGATGATCGAGTGGTGGCTCTAACTGCAGCGCTTTTTGGTCCATTTCCAATTCTTGTGTACGCAAGGATTTGGAATTCATAAGTGACAAAGCTCTCCAGTCCCGTCAGGGAGGTAGAGTACACGAGACCATTGAAGAGTTCCTTCTCTTTCTCCGTGTTTTGCTTCCCAAAAATACGGTAGTATATCTAAGAGGACATAAAAAAACGATCTCTATTTTTTGTACAAAACAGTCACTTGAAGAATTCCCAGGATACTAGAAACCCTTCCCAGATTGCAGAAAATAAAATGACCTGTACATTTTTAAAGACCACTTCACACAAACTCACTGAGTTAGTATCAAATAACATCGCTTATTACGTGTTCCTGTTGATGAGGTCGTATAAAAAATCCGCCATTTTATCATTCAGGTACTTTCAATTATGGGCATACACTTAAAAATTCAAGATGACGTTTTTAAGTATTTGACATGCGCAGACTCGGAAAAACAAAATGAAAAAGATAAATATTAAGAGGCTTAAATTTACGGAAGAACTGCCAGGTATTTACTGCACCTTGTAACCAAGAATTACACCATTTTGTCCCACATACGGTACAGGTTCCCATCTGAGCGTAACAGATGTGGCACCTGTTACTTCTGGCTTAAGACTAGTTGGCGCTGAGGACGGAGCTGAAACAAAAAGATGAAGAATTTAACCCATGACACTCGGTATCCATATTCAGCACAACACCTTTAAAACAGATATGTCAAGCAAACAAGAAATCTTAAAGAAAGATGTTTTTCCTCCTTATCATAAGCGTGGGTCAAAGAGAAAATTCCCCTTGAGGAATCGAACCTCAGACCTTCGAATTCCGCGCTTCGATACTCTACCACTGAGCCACAGAGACTCTATGGTGAGCAAGACTATTACGAAGTTCATATATGACACGTCCTGCATACTTCTTGGATCAGCACTGTCGATAGCGTGTTTGCAAATAGAATATGAAACATGGTTAATTTTGAGCTCGGTGAAGAAATATATATTCGTGAATTGACCCTCGTGAAAAGACGAAGAAACATCTTTCTCTATTTCTTCACCGAGCTCAAAATTTACCATCTCTCTTTTTCTATTCACCAGAAATCATAAATTCTACACAATCGATCTCACCATCTTCTTGCGTCCAAGCCCAAGCCACCGCACTGCCATTGCTAGCTCCTTTACCATTTAGATTGTAGGACCTTACGGAGACCTTATAACGTTTGTGTCTCAAAAGGCCTCCCGCTCTGTAGTAGTTTAATTGACTGCTTGGAAATTTATTTTCAAATGCGAAACTGGGAACTCCTTCCGGCTCAAATCGCAGTATGAATCCTATAAAGTCGCTATTCCAAGTGTCTTGGGGTGGAATCTGAAAGATGTGAGTAGATATTGTGGGACTCTCAAAGCTCTGTTCAGTCAAATAAATTGTTGATTACTCTCCAAAAAACAAAACAAAATCACCTCAAAGGATTACTTTTAAACTTACCTTCCATCTTAGTTCCAGTCCATCCTTCCCGAGTGGAAGCAAAGTCAAATTGCTTGGGGGAAGGGAGGGTGCTGTGGAGATAAAAAAAACCTGGCTTCAGTTGAAAGACTGGTAAAAGTTAAGACTACGAAAAAATTAAATTGAGAGCAGCAATGCAACAGCCGATGTGTCAAAAAGGAAACCAGATTTTTACAATATAAGCGAAAATTGAATAAAGAATAAAGGTAAAAACATTGCTATCAACAAGATTCGAGTGCATCAACCTTCCTGGCAAACTTCGGATGTGTTCTTAAAGCTAAATGTAAGCTATACAATGTGCTTATTTAAGCCATTTATTAAGCTCCTAAGCGGTACAGTTAGGGCAAAGCCTGTGTTAGTGCATGTGTGGACGGAAACAACCTTGGTTGCTCAAGTACGGAAATAAGTCAATTTTAGTTTTAGGAAAAGCAAGAGATATGAGACCATCGAGTTCTTTACCAGTTTCCTGCGTTCTGATTGTATCCGTTGGGGCACTGGGGCTGCTGCTTCCCACTTTGTTCGTGGCAGTGACTCGGAATCTGTAGTCTCTGTACGGTTTCAGATGCGGTAGCTCAAGAGGAAGCAAATTCCATACGAGATGAGCGTCACGAACAATCATCAGTGTCTTCCAGCTTGACGACGCTGGGTCATAGTAGGTGTCGTTGTTGTACTGTATGATGTAGGTCAGTATAGGGGCTCTACCAGATGATCCAGGGGTAAAATCTAATACCACCGAACGGGCCCTCACTTCTATGACCTTTAGGTTTTGTGGTGCACCAGGTTTGACTGCAAGAGAATATTTTGTCCATACGTTTTAGTCCAGTATATTAATGCTCAAACTCTCAGTGAAAAAAAATTAAGGTCTATTCCCCCCAGATGGCCAGCATTAAGTTACTTTGCCCTCTCAGTTTGTGTTATCTACTCAGTAGACTCTGTAAAACAGCTGACGCTCAAAATTCAGCTCTCATGGCCGCAACATATCCAATATCTAAAGCCTGGTATTTTTCTTCACAAGATACCCTGAGACATGTTTGTTAAGCCGTAAGAAAGTAAAATAAACAACATTACAATTTTCTTCCGAGATTCATATAAAAAAATTTTTGATAGCTTTTGCTTACCGGGAGATTCCGTAGTTTTCGCCACCAGTCTCTTACTCGTGCTAGCCCCCACTCGGGTCTCAGCGGACACCTCGACAACATACGCAGTATTGGCTCCTAATCCTGTCACTGTGTGTGATAAGGTGACGTTTGAGAGACGCGTCGTTTGACCGCTGCTTGGGAGTGAGTCATTTCGCCAGTGTTTTACCAAATACGCAGTAAGAATACCATTCAGTCGTAGAGGTGGGTCCCAGCTCACTCTCAAAGCGTCCGCGTAGACCTCGGATATTGTGAACGACCGAGGCGCGTCTGGAACTGTGGAAGGATAAAATAATTATCAATTGTTGCCATGTTTATACAAAATGCTATAAGCACTAACAGCCAGTATCTCTCAATCAAACACGCAATATATTGTCTTCATCTCAATAAATGTTTCAAACATTAAGTGAACGTACCTCCTTCCTCGGTCTTGATAAGTTTAGTATCAGACCTCGGACTGTCTCCTGCGCCATTGTAGGCTACTATAGCTATAGTGTACTGAGTGAATTTTTCCAGTCCGCCCAGGATTCCCTTCTGAATAGCTGCCGTGTCGTCATGATCAGCTACCCGCTGGTAGATATTGCTGGGTGTGCTTCCCTTCCACGCTTGGAGCTGTGGGACAAAAAAAAAGTACATGCAGAAAGGGTGTAAGATCGGGCCCCTCGATGAACGAAAGATAGAAAGAAACTTGAAATATTTGCTAAGTTACAGAGATCTCGTTTTGTGTTACGCCATACACCAGTGGAAATTGGCAAATGTTCTGCCCACTGAGAACGCAAAATACCTTGTATCCTTTTATTCTTCCATTTTGTTGCTTTTGAGGTGGAGGTTTCCATTCTAAATATACACTGACTGTGGTAATGTTAATCACTTTCACTTCCTGTGGTGGAGCTGTTGGTACTGCAACAACATGTAATAGAGTAATTAGCAAATGCAGCCAAATTACAACTAGTCAGGATGGGTGAAAGCGTTCGAATCCATTTTATAAAGGTCCCTTTTTTTTCGGCAATTTTGGCTAATTTTGAAATGAAGGCCATAAGAATGGTGAATGTAATTTAGGCATTAGCTGATCTGAACAGACAGTGCTATGAAATCACAGAATTCCTTTTAAAAACAGAACGGTCTCGCCAGCCAGTTCTGGTGTTTGCAAATCTCTGCACCAAATATATATATAACTATCATAATGTAGAGTTGGAAATGCTATTCACTGGACGAGAAAGTTCTAACAGATGCGAACACGTAAGAACCGTCAGAATCAAAAACCATGTAGAACTTACGCCCTTCTGCTGTGGTGACTGTGATTGGTTGACTGTACACCCCGTCTCCTGCGTCATTGTAAGCCCGCACTTTAATCTCGTACGCAGTCCACTGCAGAAGTCCGTCGATGCTGCCCTGAGTAGCAGATGAAATTGCAATCTTTCTTATAATGAAGGTACTCGCTGAAACGCCAGCCAGACGGTAAGCGATTTTGAAACCACGCAACGGACCATTGTGTGTTTCAGGAGGAGGAATCTGAAAACGGAAATTAAAATAATGAAATTTTTAATGAAAATTGTACAAGCTGTAAATAAAAAGTTCAGTTAAAAAGACGAATATTTTTTTAAGCATGCAAACAGGCTGAAGACACTCACTTGCCACTGCACGAGTATAGAATCAGCGCTTGTTGGAGCTCCACTGACGCTTTGTGGAGCTGCAGACGGCGCTGAAAGAAAGATAGGAGAGATCTTGGTTTACAAAAGTTCTGATCTTTCCTTGTGATTACCATGACAATAGGGTGAAGTCAGTAAATCGAGCAGCTTTTGTGTAATTTTCACGGCTTACGTTTAACTGTCAAAATTGAAGAAACCATCAGATCCAAAGGATGGTTTCCCCAAAACAAAGAAGAAAGAACCGGCCATATTCTGTTACCTGATATCAGTGTCCTTATCACTCCGGACGCGCCACTGGGTGCACCATCTCCGACTTGATTGACAGCTCTCACGCGGAATTGGTACTGAGTATGCGGCGAAAGATTACGGACAATGACTGACATCTGTCTATCAGAAGGATTGATGTCATCCCTGGCAAGTTGCCAGTTGTTGGAGCCCTTCTTGGCTTCGATTTTGTAAGATGTGATGGGGCTGTTACCACTATAATCCGGTGGAAACCACGATAAGCGAACTGAAGTCGTCTTGATGTCACTTACCACTGGGGTAGTGGGTGCGAGCGGTATTTCTAGAAAATACAGAAAAGTCTGTGAGCATTTTTAAGCGGGAAAACATAGCTCCTCAGGATGAAATTGCTTTCAAGCAGTTCCCCATAAACAAAACGGGAATACTTTGAGGAATACGTACAAAATCGTGATGAATAGCAATTAATTTTTTTGACGACCAAAGAGATGTTCTAAATAAACTAATTCAGCGTATGGTGCCCTTGGAATAAACGTGAAGGGGAAATTGTGCGTTGATCGATGATCAGGAACTCTCATGGCTCAACCAGCTTACGACATGATACATTTCCCTCTATTAGCTTTTGCATTCGCAAATGAAGATAATTTAGGCATGTTGAGAGCATAAAAGTGAGCCAAGGAAAAAGGATAAAACAATGCGAGGAAAAATAACTCAGCTTCTCAATTTCTTTTCCTGAGTTATAATCAAAACAAGAGAAAACGATGGAAAGTTACCGAGAACGCTCAACTGTCCTGTAGTGCTGGCGTTTCCCGCCTCAGACTGTACCAAACACGTGTACGACCCAGCATCCCCCTGCTGCACAGTGAGTATGCGTAGTGTTCCATCACTTTGAACCTTCATCCGGGATACATCGACTGCAGATCCATCTTTGGTCCAAATCCACTTGACTGATATATCCGGGTCTTTTTGGACCCCACACGGAAGAAGTTTATCAATTCCTTTGATAGCGTCTATTTGACTTGGTAACGGATTGACGATCACAGTTTTGACTGCAATAAACAAACAGAAGTAGTTTTCATTGGATTGTTAAAACAGAAAGATTGCTGCAAAACTTTTCAACGATCGTAGCGATCATGAAATACATATTAAGATTAAACTTACTTAACACTCTAAGAGAAGCGTTTGCCCTCTTGGAGCCTATGCTGTTGGTTGCTATACACGTGTATTTTCCACTGTCACTCTTCTGACTTCTGCTAATCTGCAGTGAACCAGAAGACTTCTGAAAGTATCGAGGATTATTGGCGAAGTTGATGTTTTGGTCATTTTTCTGCCAGGTTATTGTTGGCGATGGATTTCCACGGCCCACACATTCTAACTCCACTGTGTCATTAACCACAGCGTCTGTGTTCTTTGGTGGAACATCTATCCATACAGGTAATTCTGCAAAATACAACGCATTTAAAAATATTAACTGAATCCAAATCATCAATTATTAAATAACTTTCCCCAACAGTCGCAACTTACATCGTTCCCCTTGGCCATGGTACCAGACATGGGCGAATTGCTGTGCCGACTAGATGCCACAACCCAACCCCCACAGTAATCAGACAGAGACAATAACGGCAAAATCGTCAGCACGGATACTTCAGTCACAGCTCCACTCTTATACAACTGGGTAGAGGATGACTCGCAGCGAAATACCAAGTTGCTTAGCGTAAGCTGAACTTCAATATGTGGTGGCTTATCAGTTACTTCTTAAATCTAGCAGTCTGACCAGCGAGCTTTACGCAGGCCTTAGAAATCATGAGAGCTTGGATAACAGTCCTGGGCCTAATTATTCAAAGGATGGATAGCGCTATCCGACGGATAAATTGCTATGCAACGGATAAATCGCTATCCAGCGGATAGGTGTTCACAAAACGTTCTGCCATATCCAACGGATAGAGATTTATCCAGTGTCGGGATAGGCAGCGTTATTTTCCACCCTTGGATAACCTGGTTGATTTTTTCTTATAAAGGTCTATCACAGGAAAATACCAGATACACTTCTTACCTTTTACACGCAACAAAGCTTTGCTCAGTATCTCGCCAGCATCGTTGGTTGCCGCGCACTGAACACTTCCTTTGTCGCCCGATTGAAGACTTATAAATGTCAGGTCATTTTTACTGTTTATCTGGATCCTTCCTGTGGTCGAAGGTGGAACTTTTTGACCATTGTGAAACCAAGTAATCTCTGGCGTTGGAGTGCCAGTCGCACTGCATTTAAAAGTCACTGATTCTTGAGGATACTTATCCGCCATCGTTGGGGTGACTGTAAACGTTGGCATAACTACCAAAGAAACGAAATGAATTTTTGTACTTAATATATTAAAAACTGATGAGAATCCAATTGAACAAGTTTCAATTGACTGCCAAGAGAAATACGCACTAGCGTTGGTTTTGATTTACGATGGTCTCTGATTAGTCAAACAAAAACTCTTGCCACCATCTCAACCAATCAGATACAAAACTAAATCTAAAAGTGACTTGGTCACTCTGAACTCCAATAGGCTCCTTAAAACATTTTCTCTTTGTTCTGGTTGGCTGTTGCGGTCAGTCTGGTTGAGATTTTAGCCTTACAACACTCAGTCCAATAAACTCTAATAGTTAATAAAAAATAAAATTGAACTGCATTTTTTTCATGCTTACCAATTATTGTCAAGTTTGCACTCTTGGTTTTAAAGACATTTTTGCTGTTAGTTACTCGACATTCGTAGACTCCTTCATCAGATACAGCTGGATTGTGAACAGTGAGTCTCTTCTTGAACGTGTCAAAAGAAAATTTTGCACTCTGAGAAATCACTTGCCCTGCCTTTCTCCAGGATATCGAGGGCATAGGACTGAAGTATAAACAGCAAATAAAATAAACAATAACATTATTTTAAAAATGCAGAAAAAAGCAATTCAAAATTGAAGAAAAGACATTAAGACAATAACAAGTGGACCTCATTTCTTGAAGTCAGTCAATGTCAACTACTTGTATCTCCAGTTCCCAAAATTTAAATCAACTCTAGTTTTAACTCTTTAACTCCCACATGTGATTAACAAGTAACTTCTCCCCATAATGTCTCTTCATCATCCAGCAAATAGGTAATGAGAATACTCCAACTTATCAGGTAGAAGTTGTTATCTTAATCTAAAACAAAATTCTCATAATTGATATACTGGAAAATGGTTGGCACCTAAAGGGGAGAATTAACAATTGATCTTGGGAGCAATAGGGTTTAGTAAGCTCTGGAGCCATTCTGGAAATTTCTGTTCAATAGGTTTGCCTATCATAAACATTAAATTAGACATAAAATCTTCACCTTCCACTTGCAAAGCACTCAAATGTAACACTGTTTGTCTTTCCTGCTGTAGCTCTCTGATTTGTGGGGCCAAGAATGATATATGGTGTATCAGGTATGTTTCCCCTTGCTGCAAACAATATATTATATGTTATTGGTTATATATTATCAGAAGTGGTAAATTTTTTTTCTCTTTCATAGCTGAAAATTTGCCATCTTTCATACTTTAGTTTCTGATATTTTTCTGTTTCCCTCATTTTGAAGGTGATTACCTTACTTTTTCAAAAATAGGACTTGAAATAACATAACATCTCATTCAAGTCATTAAACATTTTGTCATGAATTAAATAAACCCATTAAGCCTTTGTATTGGTGACTCCCATGAGTGACTAACACAGAATTTCTCCTTACAATATCAAGCAGGAAAGTAATGAGAATAAAGAAAAATATCTATTGAGGATTTCTAAGTTGATCCAATACCAAATTCTTTAAACTACACCATAAGAATTGTGTGGCAGAGAGTAAGGAGAATCACTAAGTAAATGATGGGAGTGAAAGAGTCAAAAGGGTCCAAATTTCTCTGGTGAGAGACAAAACATTTTCATCTGAAACCTAATTGAAACATGTGTGTATCATTCACAAGATTACTCACCTGTCACACTCACTGTTAGCGGACCTCTACTAAATGACTGGCCTCCATTCTCAACCCTTGAGTAGTAGTTACCTACATCATTTACTTCCACATTTCCAATATAAATGTTTCCTTCAGTAGAAAAACTGATGCGTTGTGTCTCAGACATAGAGCTGCCACTTTTAGTCCACGTAATTGTAGGCTTTGGAAAACTTTTTATAACAGGGTATTCATAGGTGAATTCACCCCCCTGCAGTACTCCGAGACTTACACTGGTATCAACATTTGGTGTTTTTTCTAGAACTGTTAGGAAGAGAAATTGAAAATCAAAAATTTATGACAGAACTGAAGCAATCAAACAAAACTGAATCAAATCAAGGGAAATTAGATAAGAACTCTAGAGCTCTGATCTACAATTATTGTAATTTTCCTTCACTTCCTTCAAAATAAAAATTCCTTGGAAATATGTTGTTTGAAAGGTAAATGAATAAAGAGGGTAACTATAAAATTTCTAAAAAAATTGCAGAATTACACTGGTGGGGTGATTTACATGATAACTTGATTTTAATAACTGAGTTGATAAATAAATATAAATTGGTCATCATAACAAATAAGTTCCTAAAGCTGATGTTGCAACCATTAGCTTCATCAGGACAAAGGCAGTGACCCACAGCCATTTCCTCTTCAGGTAGACAGCATGCCTTCACCCTTTAACTCCCATGAGTGACCAAGACAGAATTTCTCCTTACAAAAATCAATGCAATATCAACCAGACAAGTAATGAGAGTAAATAAGAAAACTATCAATTTGGAGATAATTAGTTGATCTAATACTAAATTCTCTAAACCAACATTATGAGAATTGTATGGTTGACAGTAAGGAGAATTACAAATTTGATCTGGGAGTTAAAGGGTTAACAAACTAAACACACATACTTCATAAATCTGCGGTAAGTTGTAATAATTAAGCCACTTACATGAAACTTGGATTTTTAATCTTGTTGATCTTGTTCTTCCAGCTGGATTCCTTGCTACACAATAGTAATAGCCATCATCTAGAGTATGATTCAGACTGTTTATAACAAGCTGACCTGTGCTTGGTTGCTGACTGTGTCTACCTGATGAAACATCCTTGGCATTACCCTCAAAATCTGTTGCAAACCACTGGTAGGTAAGGGGTGTGTTGCCTGTAGCTGAACAATGAAGTGTCACCCTGCCCCCTTCATAAAAGCTCACAGGAGTTTTTGTCACACTGGAAATGGTTGGAGGGTTTTCTGAAGGAAGACAAAAAATATTCATTTGTTGTAGTATTTCATCAGAGAGAATCAATGAGACAAGTAAATTTATGAATTTTAATAGCACAAAAATGTTCCAAACATCACTAGAAAACATGAAAATACACATAGCAAAACCCCTTCAGATTTGACCCCCTATCTTGTGTACTAAATATTCTTCTGCTGATTCCTAAGCTAAGACGTGGCAGCTTGAAAGAATGTTCATCTCATCAGCTATTTCTCAGAACTTTTTTTCACTCGTCTTTGCAATTTTTGATGTACCCTTATAGATGAAACAGAATGTATTCTTAAAAGTTTTGAGAGAACTAAATAAAATAAATTACATGCTAGAGTGCACTTATCTCTTATGATAACAATGCCTAGACCTACGCAATAATAAATGGACACACGACTGAATCCTGTCGGAGAATAACCGGTGACACAATCCCAGTGATTCTATCACTTTGAACAAAAGTAAAACTAAAACACCAAATTTGACAAATTTAACACAAGGTTCTACAAATGATAACAGACATTTTGCTAATACTTTCAGCAAGTATTTATAAGCAATGTTGATAAAACTGATTTGAATTTAGAGAGGGTGTAGAACATAATGTGAATCAGCTGAACATGCATCTGACCACAAAGAATGACTGCTATGCATGATTTTCTCTCAGTTTGGCTAACTATAAAGATATATTGCAGAACTATGACATAATCATGTTTTCGTTTCCAACATTCCCATATCTTTCACAAAAAGATCTTTTAATAATGATATTATTGCAACTTGTTGTAACTAAATATCACATTTATTTTAAACTTTAGAACTGGAAAGATAATTGAGCTTCATTGACCTCTAGATATCCTCTTAAACTCTTCACTAAGGGAAGTGTTTCTCATACCAATTTATTGACGTGCATGTTACTCAGCACTTATGGAAGTCGGCAACAATCTGTATCACACGCGATTCCCATTGACACAAAAACTTTAGTTAAATCAAAAGAAGTCAATATACTGTAGTCTTCAAAAGACACCTTACCAATTGATAGACTGTTATAAAAATTACAGTAAGATGAAAAAGATTGAAAGAGTCCCTGCTAGACAAAGCATGACTACAAATTAGTTAGTCAACGATCTGTAGCTTACAAGCTACAAAGGGTTTGTAACCATACACTTCAAGGTTTTAGACCATGAAAAGCCACTTACATTAACTATAACATGTTCAAATAACTGACTACAGCCAAAAAACAGGGAGAAAATTATTTAATAAGTAATATCACGCCTTTAATTAACAGAACCAACCCATCATTGCACACAAGATAAATTGGTTTATGAACTAAATTGATAAATGTAAATTGGCCACGTCAAGATCTTCTAGAGCTGACGCTTTGAGTGTCAGCCCTTTGTCAGAGTGATTTTACCAATAGATTATTTTAACCAGGCAAATTTTTCTAAACAATTCAGTCTGGACTTGGCTTCTTCCACAAATCTTAAAGTCCAGACGAAAATAAGCAAGCATGTTAATTAATAATTTTGTCACAAGACAAAATCAATTAATTAGGCTTGGAGTGAATTTTTTCACATTTCAGCTTTAAAATTAAGCAATCCACACTTAATAAAACAACAAAAAATTATTATTTTAACTAATATTTGATTCGCAACTGAACTGCGTGTACTTCACGGAGTATGCATATTAACAAAGAAATATCAGGGATGCTAATTTGAAAATTTTAAAAGGATCAGTAAACAAACTATTTTACATCTTTGTAAGGTACAAAATCTTGAAAATATCTTAATGACTTCACAGAAAGCTCCTCACAAATAGAAGAGAACCAAGCCGAACCGTTTCCACGTTGTGTAACTGGCATCCAAGACAGACTGGTCTGATAAAGATCTGCAGTACATATCTAACGGATGTACTTTTTATATTTTGTTCATTTTGTGATTGAAGTGCCATGCAGAGAGGCAAATACTTTGTTAAGAAAGTCAGGCTTTATTTCTGCTTTTCTGTCATGACGATATCTAAGAAGGGTCTCTTTGAGTCTCTTTGTGACCTGATTAAACTGCACTAGTTCCCGACGATATACAGTTCACATATCCTCCATCACAAACACAGACAACAATAGTTGTGCGATTATAAATTTTGTTATTGTGTAGCTGCGTTAAAATCAGCCTTAAAATCGACACCTTTAAAATAGAAACCAACATTTCTCGTCTTTCTTACTCCGTCTGATGTCTGAAGCGCAAGAAAACATCACGCGATATCATGAGGTGTCAGAACGAATATTTTGTGCAGCAGCTGTAGTGGCAACTACAAGGGGTAACAATGCACATAACCGCTACTATTTGCCACAATTCATTAGACACAAATTCTTTTTAGAAAATTCGTAAATCTTCTTAAGGAGGATTACTTTCTCAGACTAGATATTATATAAATACATCAAGAAACGTGGGCGAGCATAACTTCGTAGCTACACTGTATTTTTCAGCAAAAAGACGAACTCCTTGAATATATTTAAATTTCAATTTACCTCCAACTGTTATGGATAGAACAAGAGATTTTCGAGCTGAAATTGAAAAACCGAGGCCTTTAAGAGTTTTTAAAGGCCAAAATTTGATGAAAACGCCATCTCAGTGGTAAGCTTACTAGTAACTTCAAAATTCGATCGCGTTAATATCTGTAATGAGGTTTGTTTCCACCGCGAGGCGAATCACGCGAAGGATTAGTATTGAAGACTTCACTCGCTTTGCGCACTACACCGATCTCTAAAGTCAAAACGACGTCAAAAAAAAAAGGAAATGAAAAAATGGGACAAATAAAAGAGGGCACAGTTTGCTTTTGAATTTTTATGTTTTCTCCAAGTGTCAAACGAACACAGTAATACGACATAGCCATTCAAAAAGTCTCATATCACAAATTATGCAAATACTGCTCTCTGTTATGAGGTTTCATTTGTACTTTCAGCTGAACTTTAAAGAAAATGAAGGATGGAAAATTTGACGTCTATGAACTTATCTATTACCTACATTTTCGTTTTAAGGCGATCGCTAAAAAAAAAGACTTAATTTGATTGCACAGTTGAATGGGGCAAAGAAATGACGCACATATCAACATTAGGTTACCTTAACACCAAGAATTATCTTACCTGCTTTCACCGCGATCCAACAAAGGAGACACAACAAAAGTCCACTTTGCTGGTGAACCATAGTAATCTTCAATCAATGTAAGGTTGAAAATAAGGTTGCAGAAAGGAGCGTGTTTTCCATCAACAAGAAACAGTGGAAGCAGGCATCGTACTTAATATAGACCAAATGTTTCGAAACCAATTAGGGCTTTCTTCCCGCGTTATCCTTCCGAAAGCACAAAAGTCTCGTAGATCGCACGAAAGAACAAACGCAGTTTTCAACTTTTAGCGAAGTAGAAGTAAAGAGCTATGACTTCTCCCAGATTAACGAAAATAGAAATTTCCACACAGGAGATCAATACAAAAGTTGACAAAGTGCAGTCGATCGATCGATCGATCGTTCCAAGAAATCAAATCGCTTGAGATTCTGAACTGTCAATCGATGATTTGCGATTCTTTCCTGTTAGAGGTCGCTCGTATTGCGGTAATGACACTCAATATAACAATATAGTGGATGTCTACACATTTCGGAAATTTCCGTCTTCCAGAATTATTTTTAAAGAGATTCAAACTTTCAAACGGAAACCACCAACAACACTATGACCCATTCACAAAGCACAACAAAAGCTAGGGGTCACGTGGATTATACTGAGTGTTGGGATTGGTTAATTATTAAAAAATATGATTTCACGGTTTGACGACTTGGAACAATTAAAGGATTATATGACAATCAAAACGCCGAGCTTTTCCATTGTACCTTGGAAAAACAAAATATTTACATTTGAATGGAATAAAACCGTGCATCCAATATATAACACATTAAAAGCATTTGATAGCTTCTCAAGATATTGAAATTAGGGACTTTAGAGGCGGAATTTCGTGGCAAAGATTGTTATTTTGTTTTAAGAAACTATTAGTGATTGGGGAAATGCCATGTGATGAAAGTACTCCACACGAAGTCAGCCCTATTTCTGATTAATTCGACACTAGACGCGCACGCGAACTGAGCAAGTCGTTAATTACTCTCGCTGACTGCTTCCAGGTGGGCGTACATTTCTCCGTTTGTAAGGACCTCTATTGTTTATGCGATGAGACTTCGGCTTGAGGAATAATTTAGTTGATACAGAAAGCATCAACGGACCCCATACGGAGCCGGCCCCTTTAACCTTTAAATTCTAAGTATAACGTCAGGCACAGTTTATTGTTTTTGCAATTTGTTTCCATCCGCGATAAGAAAATATTCCTGGGAAAAAATCATCAGACCGTTAATTAAGATTGAATTGATTACCTGCAAGACTATTTTTTACAAACAGTTACCTTTCAAAACAAAACTTATGCGTCAGAAAGAAATCAAATTTTTGAGATCGTCGAAGTATGTGAAATGTCAACGACCCGAGGTTGTTTTGGAATCGCGCTCAAGATGAAGGTTTCTTAAAGCAAAGCCGAACAAATCAAATAGGCCCTTTGGAAATGGAGAACAAAGATTCAATAAGTAATTGTGCCCACGGATTGATTCAAAGAAACACCCAGATTAGCATTTTAATCGCTCCCAAGGACGTGCACACTTTGCTTGTATCTTGAAGTGCGACACAAGACTTTTTCTTCTGTTAAGCGTGCCAGCAGTATCAAGGTTTAACAAAAGTTGTGAGAATCTTGATGATAATACGTGCAGACAAAATCAGCCTGGATGTCCGCTTTCGGAATGGTTTCGAAAAATTAGGGAAGCAGATTTGAGCAAACTTGCGAATAAAATCATTTGATAGGTTCCTCTCATGCACCCGGATTCCTCTTCTGGTTCCATTCCAGCGGTTCCAAGGCAAAAAATCGTAAGCCTGGTTTGACTCTTCAACGTCGCGAAGTTTTGCGACGTTTTTCTGACCAGAAAGATTCCCTTGATTTCGGAAACGAACCTCGGTAAACAAGGGTGTTATAGTTAGGGTATAAAAATGTCATGGGTAGTAATTGACCAGAATTTGCCGAAACGAAACCGGAATGGCTAGAGACGACATTGCATTTTTCAAGATGAAATGCTTGAGCTGTTTCATTACCCCCCTTCCATTCCCCAGATCTAATTCTCAATTCTCCGCAGTTTTTTCACGTGAATTCTTAGGGATTTCAGTTCTAGGAATTTGACGTTTCATCAAGTAATGGCCCTTAGCTTATATTTTTCTTCCAAATTCCTTTCTGCTTGAAAACATGTCGATTTTGTGCGAAGAATTGATCACTCCCAGGAGTGAAATACTTACAAGGATGGACAGAATGCCCGAAGCTCATTTTCTATAGTCGAATAAAACCAGCTGCATCCACTGGCCAAGCTCTATCAAAATATAAACAAGACGCCTTGTATCTGTGAATCGATCGAGCCCTTAATCTGGGAGAATACGACGTATTTTCACCATCCTTTTTGCGATATCTTATTCATAGCCGGTTCTGTAGGTAAATCTTAAACATCAGTGACTAAGGTCATTAAGAAAATTTCATTGACACTGTGCTGGGATAAAACAGCATCAACGACAGTGTCTGATCTGTTTTTCTTTTGTTTTCTTTTTAAAGGGGGCCGAAATCTGCCTAAGGGGCGTATGAGGGGGAGTAAGTATAGGGATTGGAGCTACCAACTGATTTGTATTGAAAACTGATGAGGTTGTGAAGGAAGAAAACGAAGGATGGAAGTCACCAGGATGTCATTCAATTTCAAAATGAGGCGGATAAAATCGCCTCCTTTAATCTTAAATAGCCAAATCCAAAGAAGTATTTCGTGCTCCCAAACTTTATTTTTCAACAGTACTACCAAGCGATTTCTTAAGGAGTAAGTTATCTAAGTTCCTAAAGAGACTGTAAGCTGTGTCGGTGGAGGATATTATAAGATAGTCAGTAGTCAAATATGGAAAGCGCCCTAAAGTCTGAAGAATAACGAAAATCGTTTAAACTGAAAGAGATTCATAACTGCTCGTTTTGTGTTGTAAGCGGCAGTAGGACTCCCCAGGGATTAAATTGTCAAATCCATTGATCTCAGTTTCCTGTCTTTTCTCTTTACGAATAGCAACGTGACGTGACAAAGAGTAGTGAGACAAACGATAAAATGTTCACGTTTTCTATAACATTCGGGCCATACAGACTATCATATTTTGCGTATTTGATACGCAATATTGTTTTCAAACTGCTTATCACTATCATAAAATTCTCTCGACCTCATTTTTTAAAACCTTTTCCGTCGCTATCCAGCCGTTACAATCTACTCAGTAGTTTTGTCCAGAAGTTACATAACAGGAGATTCCTCCTTATGTTCCATTTTTTCTTCTTTTCATCAGAAACCTGTCAGTATTTTTTATACATAAGATTTAGTCTCAGGTCGTCGAGACAAGGAAAGCGTCTCAAAGCATGAATCTGACGAAGAATAAGCTTTCCGTCCTATTTAGACAGAGATTGAAATGGAGGCAAGATATGATGACGGTATTCAGTGCCTCGGGAATCCTTTATTTATTTATTAATTCAGTTTTTCCTCATTAATTAGTTCACCTTGAGAAAGAGGCTTGAGGTTGGAAATGGCCATCTTATAACAAATCATTTGTTGAGTCACCAAGTTTGATTCGTCTCTCTCGCCTATTCGAGGCACCTTCAGTAGAAACTATTTATTTAGCCAAAATTGTGGCTGCACTGCTCACAAGGATTGAGAAACCCACAGAAATGTTGTGCTACAGACTAATCATCAGTTCATTCGCTACATTAGTCAATGCTATAACTTCTGCAAAACACGATATCTCTTGTATTTTCCTTTTCAAAACTTGTCAGTATAACTCGATTCTGTCCTCAATCTCCTTCGAAGCCGTTTCGTGTCATCTGCAGTCGACTCCACAAGTTTTCATCCATTATTTAAGCTGAATACCCGCACAAATTAATGGAAGGTAAAACATTGTCGAAATTTTAATAAAACCCGTCTTGCTACAATCTTGAGATGAAAAATATTAAAGCCACCTGTCATTCTTACGAGACATAAAGTGCCTTCTATCTTCTCCCATTTCAATAATTAACTCACGATACTGCGAAACCAATTTTCTGCTTTTTTCTGCTCAGAAAGTAACAAAGTTACGCGTGTTATGCGATTAACAAGAAATTAACCGTGGCCAGATCTTTCAGTAGTGTTTTCACAATCATATTTTACAGTCACCGTTTTATCGCTGTTACCATCATATTTACAATATCAAAATTTTATAATTATCATATTCAGTTGTATATAAACTTTGATCTACAATTAATAAAAATCACCCAAGTGATTTTTATCTATAACCCAACTCTCTCAATGAGTGTACAACCGTCGGTTCGATATGGAACTTATTTTATCCGCTAAGCAAAACATGTCATCTGACTTAATTGCATCTGAGTGGAATTTCTTTCGCGAGATTTATTCTTCATTTTGTGCACTGTCGTGTATACATATCTTGGAATCATAGACATCAAAGGTTGTTTAATTGATGATAACAGAAAATTACTTACGATAGAAAGGGAATAACACCGATTTATTTTGGTGTTGTCGCTAATCAAATCCCTTAAAATCAGTCATGAACTTCAGCCAGGAATAAACCTCTCAATGCAAATGAATCATGAAAGAGCAAGCTAGGGAAAGCCCACAACAAGGGCTAACCCTTTCACTAACAAGATCTCCTTCAATTCTCCTTTATCACCATCACGTATTTCTTATAATGTTCGTTGTGAGAATTTGTTGTTTGGTCAGACAACCTCTGCCGGTGATCGATTTCGCTCTGTTCCGTTCCCTGGCTGCTTGTAACTGTGTTGGTACCGTATGGAAAAATTATGTATCGGTCACTTTTAGAGATGAGGAGGGAAATAAAAGAAGGTTTACTTGGTCAACTGCGTTCACATCCTCTTTTTGTAATTATGAGGCTCGATATCAAGAGAAATTATGTCCCCGGTGTTTTTTCTCCTTTTCATATCTAACAGTGTCGGAGCATCAGTATGTCACCCCGCAGTATGTAACAAGAGCTCGCCAGATCTGAAAACGTACTATTCTCTGCAGTACTGGGTCTCATGAGTAATAACCTTTTTAAAATTGGTTCATGGAGAAACTTAAAATTCACTCTAACCGAAGTTATATCCAAGGGTCTTCAAGTTTATCCGTGTACAGCGGTGTCAACATACCACAGAAAATCTTTTTAACTGTTTTTATTTCGAATTATTATCTTATAATATTGCGAAGAAGTTGAAAGAGAGATGAAGAGGATGTTTCTGGAATTGTTTCAGGTATTATTGAAGATGATTTCCAAAACCTTTCCATCCAAGTTTGCTTTTGTTTACAGTTCTCTATATGGAGTTGTATACTAAATCTTCCCTCGCGGAATTTAATACGCAATAACAGCCGTAGAGCGTCGGCAACCATGACGTTATTGGAAAATAAACTTATCCACGCAAGATTGTCATTTATTTTTTCTGCTGTCATGTACTTATCTACTTAGACTGTTTTGTCCCCTGCCAGCTAGTCTCAATCGATCATGATAATAGGAAAGAAATTAGACATCGCAATGAATTTCATTTCCAGCTTATTTTTGTTGTCATTT